TTAGTGTGGGTGCATGGCAGGTTTGATTTGGGCTGGATTGAGCTGTGGATTGAGCTGAATCAGCACATACCTTACTTGAATCTTGTCAGAGAACTAAGCAGTGCACATAGGTGTCCTTTTTAGGTTAGTTTGGCTATAAATGTCATGGCACGGGTGTAGATTGGTCTTATTCCATTTGTTGGGTTTAAAGGGAATCTATCAGGACTCGAACAATATTGCTTTTTTTCCAGGGGACTTCTCAGCACATGGATGTTTCATTTGTCCTTTTGAGGTTAGTTTGGCACTAGTTTAGGTTGGTTTTAGATCCATGCACTGCACCAGGGTCATCAAGGTCACCTCTGGCTGTGTTCCCTTTACCGCACGGGACACCACTGCCTTGCCTGCGGGAGGTGTTCGCAGAGCCCGTGCGCGACCACGATGTGAGCTTTTCGGTTGCCCAAGGGATGTCAGCCCTTCAGGATTTTAGACGACAAGTACTAACCATTTGGTCAAGACCATGGTTTTTGTGTGTTATCATTTTTATTGTCATGTTTATCCAAATTGTCATTACTATTGTTATGCTTGGAATGAAGAGCTGTGTCCAACAAGTGGCTGGATCGTGGAAAAGGAGGACGAACACATGAATGCGCCCTTGCTTTTCTATTGATGCTGGGGCTGATCTGCTTCTTCGAGATCATTGCCGAGCGCGCTCATGTCTAACTCAGCGCACTGCGGGTAGTGCACTTGCATGTCGAATTGTGTTTCCCTTGGCACCTTGGCATATGTTGCAGCCAAGTTCTGACAATTGCTTCTCACTTCTTGTCCGTGGGGCATTGGCAATGTCGGTCGACCCGGATCTCCCAGTTGTCCCCTTAATTGTTACGATGTTCGCAACTGCCAGCTGCGCACAACGCTAAACCCTTTTTCTAAGCCATTTCGCACACCCGCGTTGTAAATAATGTCAATAAGCCCCACGTGCGGCGTGGACAATGCTGTGCTTGACATTGCACATGTGCATTTGGTCTGAATCTTCCAGCTTGGTTGGCAAAGAAGTCTCCAGCTCATGTTCGCTTTTGCGAGATCACCAGGTGGCCGCCTATGTCTCCAAGCGGCCTCAAAGAATCAGAAGTCATACCTCATTTTGGATGGCCCCGAAGTATTCTAGAATTGAGCTACCACGAAAAGGTCGGTATAAGGGACATGTACTGGAGTGGAATAGGGTCCAAAACCCAAAAAAACGAAGGCGAGGCTTTATAACGAAGGCTTGAGAGATATTCCAGTTTCGCGCAATAGAATTCTGGCGGTAGCTCAATTACAAAAACCGGCCAAGGGTTTGAATTCGTCAGCTTTTTGGCTCGAAGCTCACGTCTTGCTCTTCAAGCGGTCTCTCTCACTTGACCAATGGCGCTGGGAGGCGGGGTGGTCCTTTCGCCCTTCTGAGCGGGTTGCCATGCACGCCTCCCCCAATGGCGAGCTAGATTCTGGACTTTCGGTTGAGGCAATACGAATAGTCGCACTTCCTGAGGGCATGAACTTTCAACTTTTTTGGGGTTGGACCATTTTAGTGGTAAATGTCAAGTTTGGATATATATTTTTGGGCCATCGTGAGATGCTTCGCCCCACGGAATTGACACCATGGTTAAGTCCATGGGGGCTGATCAAAAGGTCTGACTATGGTTGGGGAATCGAAACAGGAACCTGGGCTTCTCAGGTGGTGCGAAATAAATGTTGTCCATCCACAGTATGGATGCTCATCTCGATGGGAGCAACTGGAGCGTGCCAATACTGTCAGCTCGTCACCTTATTGATGCTTTTCGACGGAACCGTTGCACATCTCTGATGTTCTCTGACTCGATCTGTTTCATTGCCCTTTTTTCCGAGCCAAACCATGTTTCGTGTAGCTTCTCTGTCATGGGCAGTAGTTACTTTGTTGTTTTGGATTTGTCTGAGTTTCTCTTAATTACAGATGACTTCCCTCTCAGACAGGGTCTTGGGATCAGCCAAGGAAGAGTCGCTGCTTTTCGTTGCATCTCCCTTGGCCGTTCCGTCCAATCAGTTGAATATCTTCATTGTTTCTGTGTAGTTGAGCTTTTGAGCAGCCTCGTGCTCAAAAGTCCCCAGATGTTTTTAGAAGCCCGTGGTTCGTTTGGTTGCAACATTGTTTTTTAAAAAAAAAGTCGTTCGTTTGGTTGCAGATTCTTCGGTTCTTGGGTTGGCTGAGCCGTTCGCGGCGCGTTTTTTTCTTCTGCGAAGGGGCTGGAAGTGAAAACTCGTGACACGGTTGGGTTCCTGTGGGCCCTTGCCAAGAAAAAGGCGGGCGAGAGCTTCGCTGTTCTTGGCATGTGTTTTTTGGTTTTTTAATATTTTAGTTTTTTGGTTTTTTAGTGTTTTGGTTCTGTTCGTTTTTACAGGGCGTCTGCAAAAAAACAAAAGTTGTTTGCTACCATACCAAGAGTAGAGATGATAGTACAGGGCTCCTTAAAAAAGATCTCCATGTTGCAACCATGTGAAAGATGGTTCTTTTTCAACACCAAAGTAAAGGGGAACCACCATTTACAAGTTGCAATGTGCAGGTGTTTTTCATGAAAGGATTTTCTGTAGTATACGAGATGTCAGTTGCGGACTTCTTGGTTGGCCAACCCACGAGTCTCAGAAACGAGGCGACTGGACCTGTTCACACTCTGTCTGCAACTCGTTTTCGAGGTGCCCAGTTGTGGGTCAGTGTGGTAGAAGGGGGCATTCTTGGCTCCTCTCTCTTCACCGAATAGGAAGAAACAAATCCAGGGCAAAGAGGAACGCCACATGGTTGTGTCTCACCTTTTTCAGGGCTCGCTTGGGTTGTTCAAAGTCGAGCAAACAGGCCATCGTCCAATTTAAGGTGGGCGCAGTTGGACACCACGCCGCCGCTCACAACAAATCATCCTTCAGCTCACCGCTGAATTACAAAGCTGATGCCTGAAGGGCAGACTCCGACCCCACATGACTGGATGCAGCTTGGAGAAGGTTAACCAATCCTATGCAGCTACATCTAGCTGGGTGATGTACACATTTGGCCATGGGTCAAAACCCTTTACTTTCAGTGAACATCCCAATCTCCATTAAGATAGGTCCTAAAATGGGTGGTGAATTCACCTACCCCAGAATGGGATCCCATTGGTTTTGAACCACAGCCATTTCTTTTGAGAGGCCCCACTTTTCCCAGCGGAGCTTCGGCTTCAGATCGCCAGTGCCAGGTCTCGCCGGAAGCAACTGCCATTGCCAGTGGGGTCTGACGGGCCTCCTGGGTGGCATTGTCATCATGCTGGCGGCAGGCGAGCGACAGGCTTGCGATTCATCCCCTCCAGCCTTCCAATTGCGGAAGGCTGTTTTGTTGATTTTGCCCTGTTGGGTTTAAAAGGAAGGTGAAATGTATCGCTGCTAGGTGCTGGACGTACTTTTGGATGCTTGCCATGGGTGTCCCATATTGCTTGGGTGGTATGCTATCCTGGTTGATTGTTCATTGGGATTCGGAGTAAACTCAGTTCTCCAGTGCAGCTTGTGGCCCTCTTTGTGGCTAGTCATTGGTAATTTTCTCCCACCCTGTTCCGCACGGAGCGCGGAATAGGTGGGCCGGGCTTGGCATCCAAGATGGAACATTCGGCAGCGTTCATGCTTACCTTCCCGGCGTGAACACTTTACCTGTTTGGCTTTTTTTGAGGTGACTGGCCGGCTCGGTGCAGGCTTCGCAACGGCCCAAGTTTCATGATTGCTGCACCTTGACCAATGTGATAGTTGTTACCATCGGACTGATTTAGAGGGATGGTCGGATGGCGAAACCCTTCATAAGAAGAGAACGGCCAAGCTTTAGATGGAGAAAGCTCGAGTCCCAAAGTCCCAAAGGGGACGACCGATAGCTCGCTCGCTCCAAAGCCGAAGAGCACCATTATAAGAAATTTGCTCTGTCATGTGGCTGCGGGTCAAAAATAGGTACCCATAATGGAACCATGCTAAATGGATATGAACTAAAACCTGCGGTCCCCTGCTGGTTTGATTTTGACCCATACCCATGTGGGAGGCGTCTTTACGGCGCTGCCCGTCTTCTTCGGCTGGTTCCAGTACCAGTTCTACTACGTGTCGGGGCTGCACATGTCGCACACGCTCGCGACCTCGCTCGCTTGCTCGCTGAGGTCTCTCTTGCATGTGCCCTTTGTCTTCGCGCACAGTGGTGAACATACAACATGTTTTTTCAAACAATGGGAGGGCTTCCACTACTGCCAGGGCTAAAAACGGCGTGCAAAGCACACCTGCATGCCCAGAAGGGAAGGCATCCAGACGGGCCAAAGAAGCAAATCGATCTCATTCTTATTGAGAAGTGGTCAAAAAAGCCTCCGATTTTTCCTTCTAGGATCTCTGAATGACTGGGGTTTGCCTGAGCGTGGCCGGGCACCGCAGGATGTTCCAGGGCTGGTGTGATTGAACGCTAGAACCTGATCACTTGCATGGGCAAGAGCGCATGACCATATGCATTCCTTAGATACATATAGACAAGTTTTAACATCTGTACATGCAGCGCAAATGCTCACTGGTGCGGACGATTTCGAGGCCCTGTGCTGGTTTTGGTTTATCCTGGGCGTGGCCATGACGGTCTTCGGAGTGATCTACGAACTTTTCTGCTACAAGCCAGCCAAGGCGCGAAACAAACGGTTCAGATTGTAAGATCCCGAGCCGGTTGGAGCACTAGAAGCTGATTTATCCGTGACCCCTCCCTGCTTGATTGTTTTTGGGTTGGATCTTTAGACTTGAACTTTTTTTTCGTTCCACAAACAGTTATTATCTTTTTGGAAAGGGGTCGTGTTTCTTTTGGGACCGCAAGGAAACCACCTTGCCCGGGACCTGCCGTTTTCTGGGAATCTGATTGACCGATAACTTCGCAGCCGTCCGATTGAATCGCCTTTGGGCTTAACAAAGGCGGGCTGCTTGTTGTTTGGGAAGGGCGTGTCTTATCATGGGGGCAACAAGAGAGGCAATGCTCAAATCAAAGAGGAGGCCACGAGGTTTTGACAAAGCTTGGATAAAAGGCCAGATGTATGAATCCGTTTGGCAGACTATGCTTCTGGGTGGCCAGCGAGCTTCCCATCATGAAAAACCATGCCGTGTGCAATTCTGCGCTCGCAAGGCTGTGCAACAAAGCACATGATCTTCTGACACTTCCTGAGTTCCTGGACTTTGATTTTTTCGGAAGGTCATGTTGGTGGTAGACAAAAAGCTTGGTCTGATTTTGCCATGCCACTCAGGAAGTGAGTGTCTTTATGTCCTTTGCTCACGCGTTGCTTGGCACTTAGTTTGACATCAGCCTTTTGATTGCCTGAGCTCCGAAGCAACGCAAGCAAGAAAGCAGGAGATCACACACACACACGAACCTGCACGGACTGCGCAATGCTTGGCCGCTGACGTGCTATGCATTTCTTTGGTGGCAGGATGTGTAGAACGGCGCGGATCGCATCAGCCAAGTGAGCGAAAACACAACAGAACAGTGAAAGCCAGCTTTGCGGAGCTTGTGCTGTCCTGCACTGACATCGACACATGCGGGACACGACGTGCGGCTTTTCTGCCAACAAAACGCCGGCTACGATGATCGTCTCTTTGGTGGCCTTTGTGCACGGCAATGAGCGTGGCCATCGGGCACATAATTGGAGTGGTGCGTGCGATGTGTCGCTCTTGGCTTGAACCTTCCACAAGTTCCTACAATTTCACACGGATGCCAAAAGCGGGGAGCCCATTTCAAAAGCAGGTTCCTCCACAAGCGATGGCTTCTTGGGTTCCACATCTACCTGTGGCTTACGTTGACGCCGGAATGCCCCGTTTCAACGAACCTTGCGGATGAACAGGGTGCTTTATTTGGGTCAAAGGGCTGACTTATGACTTTAAAGACTCCCACCTGGTGACTTGTTTGTGTTTTCTTTTTCCCGGGAGAATCCAGGCTGACCGGCAGGGTGGGTTTTGTAGGCCTCGGCTGGGGCACCAAACGCGGCCCGCGCAGGCCCGAGAACTCCTGGCGGAGGAGGACGGCAGCGGCCCGGTGAACGCCCCCACGCCTTACATCATGATCCAGTGAGCGGTTCGATACATCGCCGGGCTTCGATGGGCGCGGCCCGGATCCAGTTCCAGCTCAAGTGTTATGCGCAGTGGAGTTCCTGGACATTTGTTTTTTTGCCGGGGGTGGGGGGGGGGGGGGGGAAATGTGGGTGACAAACAAAATATTTGGACTTGTGGTCAGGAATCATTGGTGAATGTGCGCGGGATGTGGCTCGTTGTGTTTGTATGCTGGATCATTCGGAGCGCCGCAGCAGCCCTGAGTCGCAGGACGATGGCTTGCATTTTGGGAACGCCTTCGCAAATCACAACGCAGTCACCAGTCACCTTTCGTCTTTTTGGGTTGTGGGGTGGAAGCGAGCCTGGGCCCCCTGCGGTTGAATGCACGAGTGCAGAACTTGTTTACGTGAGCAAGCCAGAGCTATGAGGCACTCGCCACAGCGTCACGCACGCGTTTTCCAGACGGGAGACCTGACCAACCTTTGCTTCGAAAACAGCGGTACTGACGCGCAATGAAGCGGCAGGGAATTAACGGAACGCCTTGTTCATAGGGCTACGGGTCTAGGAGCTCTGATTCGAATAGTTGCTGTACTTGGTAGCTATGTAGCTGCGTAGCTTGGTGCCGAATTCATCCTGACAGAATTCACCACGGAGCTCAGTTAGCTAACCGGGGAGTTCCTTGCCAAATGATTCGGATATATGATATAGTTGTTTGAGGGGAAAAGGGCACACCAAGCGTCTATAGCCCGCATTTCAAGCAGCGCAGGGCTTTTGTTCGTTTGGGTTTGCTGTAGATTCTTTGAAATCAAGCGACCAGATGCGATTTGTGGTGGGTCACGTTCCATGCTGGGCGCTACTATGGCAGCATGCCTTTTGAACCATGCCAATGGGTTGTTTGCATTTCTTCGGATGGGAACCCTTTTGCGGCAAAGTTGCTGCTCACGCGCAGTGATGCTGAGTCTCATTTGCACTTCACCCTCCTGCTGCTTCCCATGTCCAACGGATATCCCCAGCCCCTCAAAAATGGAATTGCGATCCCCCACCGCCCTCATGGTTGGGGCATCAAGGGATGCTTGTTGGCCACTTGGGGTTTGAAATATTCGACGGGCGCAGTAGGATGCCGGACTCTGCACACTCTGACTCCATGACTCCAAGCGAACCCTGGCGATCCCTCCACGGGATGTGGGTGCTTCCCAAAATAGGGACCCCTTTAGGTGGTTGGCTTCCTCTTGGTTTCCGCACATTTGACGCTGAGATCGAGATCGCTCGTATCTTGTTGACCCTGCCACGGAGCCGCTTCTCGGCTCAAGCTAGATCATGTTTTACCAGGTTCTGCCTGCCTCGGCCTGGCTCGTCAGGCGGGGAAAAAAACTACTGTAGGTCCCCCAGCCAGTGGTGCCCCCTTTTTTACCCAACAGAAAAAAGGGTGCCCTTACTGGTAGAAATAGAAAAGGTCGTGCTCCAAATCGGGTCCACCTTGGAGTTCAGAAGGTTTGCGTTTGAAACAGCTTTCGCTATGCTCGACGAAAACCTTAAAGGGCTCCTTTTGGTTTCCTCCCCTTTTCAGAGCCAATCCAGAAAGGGTCGCCTGAAAAAAGCGAGACCCATTTCGGTGTTCGTTTTAAGCGGTTGTCAGGCCGGCGGGCTAAGACTCGAAGACGCGCCCGGTGTTCTTTCATGCAACCTGGGCTCACGAAGGCAACTTGCAAACAAGTTGCGTGCACCATCTCGCTCCGAGTTCATGGACTGTTTGTACTTTTTTGGGTTTGGGGGGCACCATTTTGATGGTAAACATCGAGTTTGGACGTGTTTTTTGGCCTATCTACTCAGGAAGTGAGCCATGATCAGAAGATCAGAAGAGCAGTTGTTGTTTTGTTTTGTTTAAGCAAAGATTCCTGCGGAGGCCTGCGCAGTTCTCTTCATGAAGTTGGCCAAGTCTGTCCAGAGGGCCAGCGCACTGGAAAAGCCGCTTGGTTGTTGATTTGAGATTGCGGCTGATTGTTGTTTCCCATCAGTCAAACAGAGAAGTGTACTGACTTGCCGCCTTCCCTGACCACTTCGGATCTGGCACATGGATTGTTGCCCATGACCGCTGACCTGTTTCAGCGTCAGAGAGTGTCAACCGTTTTCTTCGGGAACAAAGAAAGCCCCTGGGCGAAGGAAACGACGTGAGAGTGCATTCTCTTGACAACCCCTCCCCAATGTTTGTAGAGGAGAGGTTGTCACTGTGGCATAGTCTACCTCACGCATGAGGATTTCTTGCTTTTCCGCTATTTCATGTCCGGGCTTTTTGCCATGAAAAGGCAACACTTTTTTGTTAAGGCCCCAGACCAAACTTGCGGCAGCAGGGCTCACAAAAAGGTGACGGATGGGTCACATGCATTGCCAAGGCACTTTCACAACAAGCACCCGCTGCATTTGCTCTACAAGGATGCCAGTCAAAAGATTGTCTCGCTGATTCCTACCTGTTGCTTGAACTAAGGCCCTCATACCCATTTTTCTCTTTTCAAAGAGGCTTACGTGGAAGATTGGTTCACATGTTACTTCTTCCTGCCACTGAAGCACATGTGCTCTTGTGAAGTGAGGTGCTGGCGCTAGCGGGAACCCAAATGTGGGATCACGTTGAAAAGGGGCTGATTTGTGAGTAAGGTGATCCTCACTGTTGTTGGCATGCTTTTAGGTTGTAGATGTTTTGGGTCTCTTCTTTTTCTAGTGAAGAAACACAGGTTTTCCACACTGTGGATGGACGAACTCCTGCACCAAATTGAAACCATAGAAAGTCATTGTTCGCCCTGTATATGTTTACAGGGGAACCGTCAGACACCAGGGTTTGTGAGTGCGAACTTCTCAGGTTTGCTTCCCCGTTCTCTTCACCCATCGTTTTTTCCAGGGGGTTTTCTTCCCGTTGGAGAGAGGGATCCGGATCCCTGAAGGGGAGGGTAAAAGCTCGAGAAATGGGCTTCGTCCATCAGCACCGGGTCGGAAAGTAATTGTACCTCTTTTTTTTTGTTTGACCCTTACAAACTGGTTGGTCCTGTCCCAAGATGATGGAATCATTGACCATTTTTTTTTGATTCGGGTCATGGAGACTCCAGGTAGGCACCTTTGCTCCGCAGCTGGGTGTCCGGCCACTCAGCGGCCCAATCGCTAGGCTAAGCAGCGAAGAAAAACATTTGGATGTCATGTGCGCATCGCGGAATTCACGCGCAAATGCGGGAGTGCGGGAACCATGCTTTCAGGAAACAATGTGTTTCTCACCTGCAAGATGGAAAAAACAGGCCCTTGCATGTGACATCTAAGGATTTGAGTCTCTCAGAATGGTAAGAGGCTTTGATTCCAAATGCCAAGGTCAAAACGTAACTAGGTCAATGTGGGTTGCTTTGTTTCGGAGAGGGGGCGGATGATACGCAGCATGGCAATTTGTTGTATCTGATTTGGGTGCTTCCTTGAATATGGGACCCGCAAAACTTGCCAATTCACTTTTTTCATTCATCGCCATGCAACAGGTAGTTCCCCATCCTAACCCGCTGAATCCGCTGAAGCCTCCCGCAGTTTTGGCCAAGCTGTTCTTGTTGTCGGCGTGCGGATGGTTTGTGTGCATGGTTTATTCCTAGGTGATTGTGTAAGCGCGTGTTTTTTTCTTCCTTGGAGCAATTGAAAGCAATGCCGCACGCATGCAAGTGGTTTTTAAAGAGCGCAGGATGCGGTATGGAACAAGTAGCCAGCGGACTATCGGGGTTTTTTGGGCTCCTAATGGGAAGTTGATTAGCGCTGCGCCAGATGTTGTGAGGTACAAACCAAATCCAAAGGCTTTCAAACTTATGCGACCTCGTATTTGGGCTGTGTCGAACGAGGGTGACATCCAGAATGATGGTTTCCCTCTGGTGTCCCAATGAAAACCACACCCCAAAATGGGTTCGGTCCCAAACACGCACAGACCTAATATGGCAGTGGGTCGAAACCAATGGTCCCATTTTGGTGTAGGTGCACCCATTTTAGGACCTATTTTAGTGGGGATTGGGATGTTCACTGGGGCTACGATTTGGGTTTTGACCCATGGCCATCTACTTACTCTCTTCTTCACTGTTCTTGGCATGTTTTTTTTAGTCTTTTAGTTTTTCGGTTCTGTTCATTTTTACTGGGGGTCTGCAAAAAACAGTCAGTTTTTCGCAAGCCCATACCAAGAGTAGAGATGTCTTCCTTCGGCCTCGTCCGGACCGAAACGGACGCCAGGATGTGCTGGACGAAGTGGCCGAGACGCGGCCGCTCCGAAAAATATCCGCGGTCCGAGGGTTGGAACAAAAAAATGGTGAGGCACGGCGTCCCATTGGCGGCTCAGCACGTTGGAACAAACAATTCCCCCCCCAAAAAATAAACAAGAACATACAAGAGCAAGCCCGTGTTGGTGTTGAGGCAAATCTATCACTGGAAATATGTTCTCACTTTTTGTTGCGGTGGACTTAAGGAAATGGAAGACCATGGCGTAATGTTGACCCCCAGATTCATGATTCTGGTGGATTCTACTTTCAGGCGTGCCCACCAAATTCCAGGATCCTCTCCAAATTGGGGCGCTTTTGCTTTCGACCAACCAAGGCGTGATGAACCCTGGGTTCCCATTTGTCAGCTTGCGCATTTTTTTGTATGTTTTGCACGAAGCTTGCTCTTGTCAGGGCTGTTTTTGCGCGTTCCACTGTCTCCAGCTAGGATTCCGCGGGTCTGTTTCACTGCCAACGAAGCAACCCACGCCTGGGGAGGGAGGGGAAGGAGCGAGCTATGCCCTCAGTAACGGCAGGCCTTAGGGCTCCCCCCTCTCTCAGGCCCAATGATTAAGAAGAGGCGACACGTTCCACCATGCAAACTCGGGAAAAGACCAGGTCGTGACCTACAGCTTGGCAATGAAACCGGAGCTTTCGCTGGATTCTTGTGCACCTTTGCGCCTCGAGGAAGCGCCTGCCAGTGCAGGAGTTTGTCCAGCAGGGTTGAACAGACTTACCGAAATGCAGGGATATGCGTAAGTACGGCGTTTAAGGCTACCCTTCATAGCTGTCAAACAGATATCTTTTGTGGTGACCTCTACTTGCTGAGGGGCAGCAACCCTGCGCACTCATGACCAAGCAGGGTTTGCCTCACAGTGGTGAAACGAAACAAAGTGCCATTGTGGCACTTTGTTTCGTTGCACCCATTTAGAGTGTACGTAGGCAGTTGGCGCAAGATTGCATGCACCCGATGCAGGGAGCCCAACTCGCAATCCCAGTCCAATCCAAGCCACTCCGATCACTCCACTGCAGCGCTGCAACTCAATTTCCGCACGCCCCTCGGAATGATTCCAAGCATGTTCATCCATTTGCTTAAGAACATGTGTTCCCCAGATAGCTGAAAGCTATAGGGGTTCTAACTTCTAATAAAGAGGGAAAGTGATTTGCGAGATTGACAGCTGAGTGCTAGGGGGCATGCAGTCTGGGGTGCCGCGTAGGTGCTGTTTTGGTGGCGCAGGTGCTGTTTTGGGGGGCCTGGTGACGGCTAGGCGTGTTGTTGCGAGATTGACGGCAAGATACTGGGGGGCATGCAGTTTGGGGATTCTTGCGCAGGCTGTTTTAGGATGCTGTTTTGGGGTGTTGCTTGAGGTGCTATTTGGGGTCTATGCTGGTGTAATTAGTTTCCCTTGCTGGCTTTAAATCTATCACTACTGGGGGGGCCTGACCCGCGGTCGCTTTAAAAAAGCACCAAAAATCAGTTAAACAAAACCACTTAAAACCTAAAAACAAAAAAGCAAGCCTGCCGAGCCGAGCTGGCATTGAGGGCTCACTTCGACCTGGGCAACGTTTGGTCACATCTGGCGCCCGGCGGCAACGTGTATCGCCTCATCAGCTTGCAACAGGCGCGGGGCTGGGGAGGGAGGCTGGGAGGGCCAATTTTTTTGACCAGAGATGGGGGAGGGAGGCTGAGGCTGAAGGAGCCTTTGAGAGATGGGGCAGCTGAAAGGGATCATAGATCCAGCCAGAGTTTTGGCTTCAAACCTTTTCGGCGCCTAGGCACATCAGTGTTGATCTATAGACGGAAAGCTCGGACTTGCCTAGATGAATTTGCTGCGAATGTTGTATGATTTGTCGGTATAGTAGAAGGAATCAAAGAGGGCAAGACAGGAGTGGAAGATAAGAAATGCGAAGGGAACAGTCGACATGATGGAGTTCCAGCCTTTCATGCATTTCGTAGGTGGGAAGGTGGGAACGGGGGATGTCCACAAACCAAGGGCTTGTCCGCAAGAAGCATGTGTATTCTGAGCGATGGTATGGAGCTCTTCAATGCTGTCACTCGGATGTGTTGACCTCGGCCAGCGCTAGCTTCGCTTCAGGCAGGATGCCACATGTCAAGCGATTTCGTTGCGGAGTGAAAACTCGATAAGTTCATCCAGTCCCAACTCCCCCACCCCAAGCCGGCGAGTCATGCGGAGAATTTGCAACTTGGGGGGGGGACAAGTTCTTCACTTTTAACCTCCAACCACCTACAACCGGACGGCTTCCGGAACCGCCACTTGTCAGACGCTCTCGCCTTGGTTCTCACTTCCTGAGTTCATGAACTTTAAACTTTTTGGGAAGACCATTTCGTGGAAAACAAAAACAAAGTATTTTTCTGACCAATCTACTCAAGAAGTGAGAGTCCTCAGCTCCAGCTCGCAAGTGGACTTTTTTGGGCCATCCGCTCAGCAAGTGAGACACTTGCCTTTGGTCAGATGAGATTGGCGCACTGCGCGGACCTGCAAGCGCAACTGGAGGACTTGGCCGAGGAGAGAAACCGCAAGCTTGGCGGGCCCAACAAAATTCGCTGAGTTCGGTTTGCGGGCGGGGGGGGGGGGTTGTGTTTTGGACAGTCGCCCTTTGTAGGGTGGCAAAGGGAAAACAAAGCAAACTCCCTGGCCATAATTCAAGATACATCCATTTTACGGCAGGGCAAAACGAGCTCACCTATGAACTCCGTCAGCGAGCCTACTTGGTCTTGCAGTCTTGAGTTACGGTCATTGAGCTGTTTTAGTGATTCAGGATGTGTTCTGTTGCTTTTCACTTCTGCGCTTCAGGTGAAGTCCCCTGAAAATGTCCAGGTGAATTTGTGAGGTTTCAGTTCTGTTGGCCGTTCGCACGCATGTTTTGCGAAATTGTTGTCTGTATTTTCTACTATGTTGTCATGCAGGGTTTCCTCCATTTCCCGGGGAATCTGCACAACTTGCAGTTTCAAAGGGCACCACTCGTACATGTGGGGCGGAGGAAACCGCCAAGATTGCCTATGTACCTATTGGTCTGGGAGGTCAACCACGAGTGTTAAGTGTACAAGTGGTTCCCTGGAACTACTTTCCTGATTGCATACTTTCCGACTGAATGATCAGCTTTTGAAGGGGACATCCAGTGAGCCCCTGTCGGCGCACTGCAGCAAGATCGTGCGCTCATTAAACCGGCACGACCTCCCGCTTGCCCCCAAGTTGACCATGGGGGAGGGTTGCGCAAAGTTTCAAAGAACTGCTGAAGACGCAAGCAAGATGAGAAGATGGCTGGAACAAATTCCTCTTTCTGGGATGGATGAAACCCTCTGAATTCAGGGGTGCGCCACCCACCATCTGGTGAGAAATGGATTTTCCTGATGGTTCTCAGTAGGGAATCAATCAACAGGGGGGTTGGGAATGAACTGGAAGGGATCCCCTTTAAAAAAGAAGCCACTAGTTGGATGGTTTTTCTCAGGGTCAGACTCCATTTCTCATGTCCATACCTCTCCCACCGAACGCCCGCTTCGTCCGCTTCGCTCCGATGGCGAGGAGTATGCGCAGCTACTGGGCAAAGACCAGCCGCCACTGGAGCGGAGGAATGCTTTGCTGTTGGCCCTGCAGCAGACCCAGGTCGGCGCATGCGTCAGTCGTAGAACTTCGTGGGTTCCAGCTGGGTGGCTCGTTTTTTTTTTGGGGGGGGGGGAGTTGGTAATTACCCGTGTTGGTTGGTTTGAAAGGGAACGCCAGCCATTTTTTGGGGGTCCAACTTCAAAAAAAAGCTCAGATGATATCCCCAACAGCATGCGGTGCTGTTTTTAGTGCTCGCACCACCCCGCAGTCCTCGCAGAACCTCGTGGAGCCCTGGTGGAACCCTCCTTGAACCTTACCTCAGGGCCGCCCCGGACCAGCCCGGAGCCTATCTGGGCTGGGACCTTGAGACGCCCATCTCTGCTTCTAAGGCTCCAAAGCTCGGAGTTCACACTTCCTGAGTTCATGAACTTTAAACTTTTTGGGAAGACCACCTTAAGCCCACCTCCTTTCCCGGGCCAAGGGCTCGCTTTAGGCGTGGACTTGATGTCTATTTGGTCACGGGCCTTTGGACTTTAAAAAAACAAAAAACTTGTGGGTTGAACCAGGTCGGATTGTCCGCATTGGACCCACCAAAAAGTGAGATGCACTCAGAGGCTTCGTTCAACCAAGCGGAGACTGGAGCTCCATGAGCCTCGCAAATTCGGATTCGCATTTCGGTGGAGTTCGTCTGGACAGCTTCCTTCTACTTTTCCCAGTGAGCGGTAATTGTATCTTCCTATTGTGAAAAGACTCTTGATTAGTTTCTCGGTTGGTTTTGAGGAGAACTGGACATATTTTATCATTTTGCCAGGGACTTAAGCAAATGGAGGGTATCACTTGGGAACAGCTCCTCAATCATAACAACTGATTTCGACCAGCGATGAGAGAATGTCCCTTTCTTGTGGCTGTTCCAGGCATGCCACCGGACGGTTTTGTATTTGCGTTCGCCATTGCACTCGCTGAGCAGCGAAACAGGTGGTCCTCACCAAGAAGGGGAAGGACTGACATGGTCAAGTGAGCCACCTGCTCAAAACCCGGGTAGATGAAGGTTTGTAAAGGACAATCCCAACCATAAATAGCCGCCCGCCCGCCCGCCCGCCCGCCCGCCCTCTAAATTGGTTCTGGGTAGACCATTTTAATACCGGGTGTTGATTATGACTCAAGTTATCCCCCCCCTGAAGCATGGAATTCCGGAATGATCCATGTTCTCTTTTATGGGGAAGACTGCCCCCCCACCTCCGTCCCCATCGTGGTAGGGGGATGTCGAGGTTCTCAAAGTCAGAAGCATTGGGCTGTTTTCCTTTGACCTATCACTTGAGGGGGTGACATTGATCATGATAAAATACAGAGGCCAGTTTGAGTTTGGCCAGCGCTAGACTACAAGAGCTCCAGTGCCCATGCTGATGCTGCCTTCGCAAACAACAGCACACTCACTCGTATCCCTAGTTCATAGACCGTGTTTGGCAGGTCGTCCTTGCCATAAGCAGGACGTCCAGTTGAGCGCTTAGTTGATTTGCCGCGAAGAGTTTGCGCGGCATCCTCAGTTGCGCAAAGCGAATTGACTTGTTGACCTTTTGGTTTCCCAATTTTGGCAACCACTTTTCGTCATCCACTTGCCCAAATCCAGCCTTTTGACCTTGTTGTGTGCTCTTTTTGGCAACCGTTTTGGTCGTGGCAACCCAAAAAGGTCAGCCGTTTATTGTTGGATATTTTGGGCACCCGAGCATCACGCCCAAAGATCCCCCCCCCCCGGCACAAGCGGCAGGACGAGGAAGCCTCCTGGGACGATGAGGTGCTTCAGACCAAAGGCTTTCCGCCGCTCGAGGAGTTCCTGGCGCCTCGGTTTTCCGAAGACCCGGCGGGGGTTCATGCATGGGTTTAACATGCAACCATCAGCTAAAGTTTTGTTGTTATTTTTAATGTTTTCATGGGGTTCATGGGTTGCCATGCGAAAGCTTTTCAAAAGCAACCATCAGCTGCTGGAATCTGGGCACCTTTTGGACCAGCCTTTGGATCGCTTGTACACTTGAGGGGGGGGTGGAGGTCGCTCGAAGTCCACACATGGCAGTGCGCGATCTCTTGCACTGAGCACGGGTGGCACTTCTTCACCCCCATGTGAAACGCCACGCCGGATGAGAAGGACGCATATTTTTGTTCCGAGATCCGGTGCCAGGACCCCGATGTGCCCAAAAAAGCATCAGACACCAGCATGTTTTGCTCGGCTGGGAGTACCTGCACTTTCTAGGTCCCCCAGCTGGGTGCCCTTTTTAATCCCTTTTTTTGGGGGAGGGTTGCTCTCTACAGAAAGAAGGGTACCCTTTCTCTAACCTCTACTGGAGCACCTCCACTCGGAGCCCGGAGTTTGTGTCAGGGTCCTCACGTGCCGAGTGACCCAAAGCCCTCGAGTGATTTGCCCTTGGCACGCCTTCAAGTTGAGCCTGGTTTCGCTCAAGGTTCAGATCGGTGATGCTTTTCTTTCGCCGTTGAAGCGGAAACAAGAGGGCCACTTTCTTGGGAGTAGGCCCTTTTCTACAGATCAGCTTGCAAAGCGTGGTGCTCAGTTTGCCTCTTGCTGCTGACGTCCTTTTTGCTGTGAATTCATATTGTTTGCTGGTTTGCTTGCTTGTTTGTTTCATTGCTCCTCTAGGTCCCCCAGTAGTGCGCTTTTACCTTTTTTGCGGGAGAATTCCCGTACGACAACAGACTACAGAAAGAAGGGTACCCTTATTCTAACCTCTCTACTGGAAGACCTAGTCGTTGTTTTCTGGCATTTGCTTGTTTTTTTTGTTTTTTTCCCCTGGGCTGGGCGACGTTGTCGTTTCAGAATTTCAGCTCGAGGTGGGGGATGTGAGCAGCATCTGGCCCTACGCGCCCCGAGACCCCCGGGCCCGACAATCCTGGTTCACCGCGCACGTGGTCGCTATCATGGCGCGGACAGGGGACGAAAGGGGACCGGGGGACGGGGGGCGGGTAAGAGGGAAGTTCATACCATATGTCAGGTCGTGAATTATAACGACCTCACACGACCGAATTCACCCCAAATGGTGGTTTATGTGGGGAATATCCCTCCACCTTGTTTCAGGCTGGTGAAATATTATAATTCACCTAGATATGTGTCGTCCTGGCTGCTTCTAGATTTGAATCAATTGTTGGGGGTGGGTTATGAGAAGTCAGAAAATGTGGTTGTTTCCATGGGTGTCCTTTTGATCGGTTAGTTTGGTTAAATGTAGATGGGTTCCTCTGGTTTAGATGGGTTTAAGGTCCCGTTTACCAGGGGAAGCCCATCTATTTGTCCAAAAGGTTGCCTGTGGTCGTGTCTCTTAAACCTCTTTCTTAGTTAACTCTGATCATGGCGAAACAATCGCCAGGCAAAGGAAGGACATTCAGCCCACGGCAAGTGGGGGTGGCTTGCAAAGTAGCTGTTTTGCTTGACGTGGGACGTATGTTAATTTCGGAAGTTGGAAGTACACCTAAATTGCACATGGTCCGCACAAAAGGGCCTTTTGGAGGCGCGGAGAGGCGCGGGCGCGAGAGAGTGTTACTTACAGGTGTGTCTAGCAGCATCTAGGGTTTCAGGAGACGGTGGCTAGGTGAGTTACTGCCTGGAGTCTCCATGACCCTTTAAAGATGGGTCCAGAACCCCAAAATACTGGGGTCATTGTATTTTTAAACGGTCATGCAGACTCCAGGTACGCCTAAATTGAACATGGTCCGCACAAAAGGGAGATTTGGAGGCGCAGAGGCGCGGGCGCGAGAGAGATTCACTGATATGTGTGTGTGTGTGTGTGTATGTCTCCTTTAGTCTAGCCATGCCTAGGGTTTCAGGAAACTGTGGCTAGGTGCGTTGAAGTCATTGGTCTCCTTCTGTTCGAAAGTTGTTTAATTTGTGGAGAATGGTTGAGCACCATGGCGTGGAGTTAAGGTCATGTTTGCCGCGAACGTGGAGTTCGTGACTCGTGTTTGGAGAGCGACTGGAGTCGGGGTTCGGAGCAAAGCAGGAGTTTAATCATGGCTTTGGAGTGATCGACATGAGGGGTGTTTTCGACAGGAACTTAGTACCAACGTCCAGCACAGACAGAAGTTGTGATATCCTTTTGCCAGCACTGGTTGGCAGAATCATTTGTTTTTGCAGGCTTTCTCATTGGCTGTTGGCTCATCAGCTGGTTCCTGAGCTGATGCTATGGGTGGGATCCAGATGAGGAAAAACAGAAAGTACGACATGGGTTATTGCCCTTTCTCATGGATAGTTTGACAGTCCAGGTAGCTTGATTCCCTGGAAGGGAACCATCGAACTTCACAGCGTTTCTTCACATGTTGACCATTTGGTTTTCCTATGGTCCACTGGTCATGTGCCCTTATACTTTCAGGTGCTTTGGGCAGCTGAGTGTTATGTATTTGCCAAATCTAGGGATAAATGTACCTTGTTGCAGGAGCCAGCCAGCCAGCCAGTTAGTCACTCGCTTACTGTGTCTAGTTTGCTTGGTTGGTTGATTTGCTTGATGGATTTCTTTGGCTATCGTTTAATCGTTTATTTGGCTTGATCCTGTGCCTGCTTGCCTGGTTGCCTGCCTGCCTGCCTGCCGCGTATGAGTTTGAAATCTTGTCGCTGGACGCTCCGATGCGTGTTCTCTTGCAAGTAGGTTTTCCTCAGGACCGGTGCCTATATGCCCACTTTGCTGAATGCAAACACGAGTGGGGACACATTTTAAGTTGATTTTGCGGTGCCCTGCTCCTTTCTCCCCTTCCCCGTTGGGCCGGGAAGCAACGCACCAAGCGCGCGTTGTGCCTCCCGGGGCTCCAATCGCAGGTGGCGGTGGTCCAGACTCTGGGCCCCATGATGGTGGTGCTCAGCCTTTGGGAGGCCCGACGCCACGTGTTTTTCGCACCTCGCAACCGAAGCGAATCGAGCTGTTGACTTGGTTTTTCAGGGTTCCCTTCGGTATTGCTTTTTTGGAACCTCCAGAAGTGGCGGTTTCAATGAAGGCCAATAAATTGCAACTCTCGACATTTGACCCCTTAAAGCGAGTCAAGAAAGCGTGGAGACAGAGTCAACTCCGGTGGATGATGCTCATAATAGAATATATTGTCTATTGTGCAATGGCTTTGGTTCTTTTTAACCGCCTGCCAGAACGGGCAGGCGGTTCTTGCATTCTTGTTTGCACTCTCATTCCGGCCGAGCTACAGCACAATCAGGCCGAGGAATCACGAACTTGCAAATGCAATGAAGGTGTAAGAGCCCGTTTTATTTGTTTTGATGGAGGCAAGAGGCCCCGATACCTTCAAACAGCATGCCTAAGCGAACCATGTTGGGCGCTAACAAGCCCAAGCCCACAACGTGTTAACTTTGCAAGGGGAAGCCCCAAGGGATGAGCGTGTCCTTTTTGCAAGCCCTCTACTCAACACACTTATTGCTCTTCAAAACATGGAAAGCTGGCCAAAGTTCGGTTCAGATAGGTCCACGGCCGCCGTTTTTTGTTTTGTTTTTTGTTTATCTTCTTGACGTGCTGTGCGAAAACATCGGGCTTGCTTGCCATATCCCAGGTCGCTAGATTAGAGCCAGAGCGCAAGGGCCGTCATCGTCTTAGATGGAGTAGTTGTGTGATTGACACGCTCTACCACGAGGTCGCCTTGAGGGGTGCTAGGCTTAAGACATAACGAGTGGCCACAAGAAAGCTCTGAGCATGGAATGCGTGTCGGAAGCACGTGCAAGCTCAAATCAAGTCCAATCGTTGAGCGTCTCTTTTCACCGGCTCAGCTTGTTGTTACTGATTGTTTTCGTACTCAATGCATATGCACGATAGAATTGCGCTATGGTTTTGATGGGTTCGGGATAACAGTGAAGCAGTCAAGTTGATTGTAGGCCGAATCCGTTACTCGGGTAAGCCGGAATCGGTGGTTTGGATTGGTTTGGGGTTCGAACCCCAGGTTCTTGCAAAGGAATGGCATTGAAATTACTTTTTGTTTGCAGTTCTCCAACCCACCAAGAGGAAGTTGAGATACGGGGTGACTGGAACCTATGACCCGCCTGTCTCGCGCACACCCCAGATGAACATGGAACCCTCGGGATTCACCCCCAGCTTTTGCCCTTTGCTTCATCCGCCCGTTGTTTGGAAGCAGCGCCAAACGAGAAAAGACACGTCGGGCGGAGCCGCCCACTGGGCATCGAGCGCCAGGATCCCAGCAACTACCTCAGGACTCCTTTGGCCACTTTGGAGCGCCTGAGTGTCGCCAACGTTTTCTGCGAGACGCGCCCGGTGTCGGACACCGGGCGAGAAAGGGCAAAAACAACAGGCTGAATGGGCTTCAAAGAAAAAACAAGAAAAACAAACAACGGCGCGGCAGGATGTCGATTTTCCGCGTGGCATTGACATATGTGTTCTTTTTGGGTTTTTGTTCCATTGGACTGGGCTCTCAGTTCGGTTGCTGTTGTCTCAGATTGTTTGAGGCAACGTCATCTTCACCCAGCGCCCAAATGTGATTCTCGTTCATTGCCAGCGACCGCTTGTGACCCTCATTTTAATCAAGCATGCGCTTGTCCTTGCTATGCGGGGGCCACCCCCTAATGAGTGCGGTTGTTGATCCTCGTGCTGTTACCAATTTGCACAGACTGTGCCTACCCTCAACTGGTAGGGGATCGAAAGGATCGTACATTTCCCTTGCGGGTGAAGTTGGTCTCATCACCCTTCGGCCGGTGCCATGCTTTCATTCTTGGAGATGTCTAACATGTGTTCCTTGTGGCTATTTGGATGGTTCTTTGGACTTTAACTTGTTGGGAACCAGTGGGTGTTCGATTGGACCCACAAAAAGTGATTGACTCTTTGCAGAGGGGTCGTTACAGCAGCCCAGTTTCGTGGCCTGAACCAAAAATCACGGAGTCGACGCTGCGGCTTAGACAATTCGCCGAGGATTGTTTTGATCCCCGGGCGGGGAAAGGCTGGGGAAAGGAAGCACGTGTATGTGAAGCCCCCTTGGACCTTTCCGGGAAAGTAGATTTGAAGCAAAAAGAGAGAGAGAGAGAGAGAACAAAACAGCAAAAACAAAAAGAGAGAGAGGTTCACATAAACACAGAGAGAGAGAGAAAGAGAAAGAGAGCGCAAGAAGAGGGTCCTTTGACATCTCGGGATACTTATTTGGACTACCACCCCCCCCAAAAAAAAAAACATCCCCCCTTTTCCCCCCCTTTTCCCCCTCCCCTCCCCCCCTTTTTTCCCGGGACTAGGATTGGTGCACCATCGTCATGGGCGTGATCTTCTCTTTCTTCGTGGTGGTGCAGCTGCTGAACTACGCCCTCCAGGAGCTCGAGGTGCGCGATCTGGGCCACGGCACTTTTTGGGGAGGCCCGCCATTCGGATGGTTCGGATGTTTCGGAACGCAGTGGTTGCATCTCTCCTGGTTGGTCTTGAAGGGAGTCTGGCACTACTGGAAATATGTATATATATGTGTATATCAGCAAATGGAGGCAACCTGGTTCCATGAGAGGGGTGAACACCTTGCGAAGGACTGCCTTCCCCCGAGAGAGGGAGGAAGACATGCGCAGCAGGTGGCATTCTGCAAGCATGCGAGCACACAGCCTGCCTTTGAACGTCTGCAAGTGTCTAGGCTTGGGCACATGGTCAATGGCGCCAGGTGTGACTAGTAGTCGCCGGTGACTCCACTTGAAAAAGGTTCTCAATCAGATGGGTGATGTTCTTCTTGTCAAGTTTCATGTTCGGGGGTGGCCCTGAAGAGTTCATACCCCGAAAGGAGAAAAGATAGCACCGCGAAGGGCCGGCGACAGGCTGCTGACATGGTGGGGAGGCCCGAAGCATGACTTACCTGGATTTGCCCAACATTTTGTTTTGGGAGGCGAAGAGCTTCCAACTACATGTGCTGTGTTCACAAGCATTGGTTTTAACCAGCCAACTGCATTTGTTATCAAAATAATGACAATCAAAAATAAGCAAACATCATCAATAGTAATACAACAATGATGTTGTGGCATTGTATTGGAGCATCCTGATTAGAGCATTATTGGATGCAACAATCAAACAGCATCCTGCTTTTGGAGCAATCTGGGGTGTCCTCAACCCTCCTGATCGAAGACCCTCGGGATTTGGAGAGAAGGGGAGTGTTTCCAGTGGCACCTGTTGCTTTTAAAGACTCAAATGAATTATAGTAGACAACGCGGCTTAAACAACCCCCCTCGAATTCAAGCAAACCCCATTGATTTAAGCAAACCCCGTTCAAAAGTTGGTAACATGCGGGAATTTCATTTTTGGTTTCATCGTACTTTTTCTACTGCCCATGGCCAGTGGAAGCATTGGATTGGGTTGGATCCATGGACCACGGAGGAACCCCAAGCTCGGTTTTGAATGCCACATAGGTGTCAACATGAAGCGACCCACACAAATGGCTTTCTTTCTTCTGGCTTTCTTTGACCTAATCAAGTTCAATTTGTGTAGGTCGCACATCCATCCCCATTGACTCCCTTCTGCACTCTTTCACAAAACGCTGCTGACTTGTTTGCATCCTCTTGGTTTCCATTTAAGGCGTTCCTCGGTGACTCCCAGCCATCCGGTTCCTTAGCTTTCAGCTTTTAGTGAGTGGGGATGTCCACTGAACCCACCAAGAGTTAAGCTTTTAGCGGGGAATCTGAGGACAGGCCAGGTAAATGCACGCCTTTACTCTGTCAGTGTTTTTGGCCCTGGGCCTTCTGCATTCTGCCGTAGGACGTGGGTAAAGATGGTCGCCTGGCTGGGTGCACATCGATCTGGCAGTTTGCAGGCGAGATTTCCCGGGCTTGCGCCACAGCCGAGGGGCAGCCAACCAACGCTCTGGCCGACTTCAAAACCTAAACCTGGGATGTACACCGCATTGTTTCTTGAATCCCTCCGAGGGAAAGCCTTCATTGGCGGTTTGATTTGAGGGCCCCTGGTTCTTGCAGAGGACAAATGGCAACATGCCGCCAGGCTCCAAACCACCAACTGGGTTGGCGGTTTGGGTTGGTGATTTGCTCCGCCCCCCGTTTGCCACCCAGCGTTAGACGCTTGATTGCATGGGCTAGCGCTTCTGCTTGCCGCCGCAAGCCAGGGAAACACATCAGCTTGCCAGAATCTGGCTTTTCAGCAAACAAGGCCTCTTGAGGCTATCGCACTCCAATGAGCTTGTTCTGCTGATTGGGTAAGGAAGCAACCGTGTGACAAGCCGAGAAGGGGGGGTCTTTTTTTTAGGGGACCGCCCATGGTGCTCTTCCGATTGGTTTCCCGTTAAAGCTACACCCCCAAGATGAGACCCACCCGGAAGTTGCTAATGGATGCAGGCCAATGCCGTTGATTCAATGTTTCTCGCTGGGAGACCCACGGACAGTGACGAGTGGATGAATTTTGCTGCACCGGATTGACTTCCGAGTGATACGGACGTCCAAAATCACGGTTCAGGCCACTCGAAGTTGGTGGTTCGGATTCTGGGTAACTCAGTAGAGTCGTCCCTAGCTTTTGGGCGTAGTCCAAGGACAGGATCTTCATGGCATTTCTGACAAGCCAATCCCCGCCGTCCGAACATTCGGACCGTCCGAGTCGTGTTTTCGTCAAATCTCCAAGCAGCAAGCCGTCCCCACGATGAAGGCGATTCACTGGGTTTGTCTCAACTGCAGTGGGGCAGGATATCATTACTGTTTATGTTGCTGGACATTTTGCGGATCTATATCATGGTGACCTCGTTTACCCCCAAATCGGTGAGCTCGCCACTATGCTGATATTGTTGGACTACCTTTTTTGGGACCTATCATGTTCCGTCCATTCAGCAATGGGAGGCAAATTTGGAGCTGGTCTTCAATATGGCAGTTCTTTACTGGAGTTTGTGGAAACTTCGGTGCGCAAGTGGCCTTAGCTTGTGAGCCAACGCCGCCAGCGCCCGAGACAAAGACACCTTTCGGAGCGTTTCGGAGGCACTTCAAAGGGAAGGTAGCTCAGACTAGGCAGGGCGTTTGCAGTTCCCATCAGCACGTCTTTGTTGCAGGATAATTAGCTTTGACTTCATCCCTCAGATGTTAGCTTTGACTTCATCCCTCGGATGTTGGGTTTGCTTTAACCACTCCCTCCATGGCAAGGCGGCTACATCAATGCGTGGTGTGTCGGGGCCCATGGCCGTCGCAACGTCGCGATGCCGACGCGTCCAGCTTGCCTTCAGGGCAGATGAGTTGTCTCACCCGGGAGATCTCCATTTTGCTTGGTTGGGGACGGTGTCGGTTCTTTCGTCATTACCTAAACGCCGACTCCAAGTAAGCTGGACTGATTTGTCGCGCATCACAGGGGACGTTTGTCCGTTTTGGCTCAATCATGCCAGCCTGCCAGGCAATGTCACGGGGCCGATGGCAAGAAGGGTGGGCCCCGACAGCTTCCCAAACACATGTGTTATCTTGAGTCACATTCAGCCAACCAGACTTTGTTGCATTTTGCTTGGATGTTAAAACTTTAACTTTTTGCCAACGAACGGGCATTCCATTAAACCACTAAAAGTTTTCACTTTTAGCAGGGGAGCAGAAAGCAATCGAGATTTGTTCTATTTTGGTCTGGGGGGGGAGACGAGACGAATCCACTTTCAGTTTTGGAAGGCACATTCTTGCAGAAACTGTTCCTGAACTTTAGTCACTTTTTGGGAGTGGACCTGTTTGATGGTCAAACAGTTTGGTTTTGGGGAGGACCAAATTGTTTGATTTGGAAACCCGCTCAAACGAACAAACAAACTGTGCCACATGTTTTTAAAGGGAATCCGCACAGAAGCGATCCGGACCACTGCTGAAAACTTCCGTTTGGGTCAGCCAGGACTGTGTTCATTCGTGATCGGTTGCACGTATGACTTTGAAGCTAGTTCACGACTCTGTAGCAGATGAACTGTCATGCCATGAGCATGGGGGACTTCAGAGAATGCTGCGCTGCTCGCGCATCCTTAACCTCCACTCTGCCAGCACCTTCTTTATTGGTTGGCTTAGGCCTTTAGCACATGGCTTTGAGCACTTCGAACATCTGCAAACAGCAGCTGCTGTTGGCATGGGGCTTCAACCTGTGTCTCACATGACCGCTTTTGATGGTGTTTGCAATTAGTGTTTGTAACTGGTGCTGCTATCTTTGTGGCTATTTGGTTGGATCTTTGGACTTCAACTTTCCAAAAAAATAGATTGTTGTTTGGATAAAAAATAAAGCCTTCTTGCAGAGGGGTTAGCAGCAACCATGCTAAGCGCTGCTGCTTTTAATGGCAATCTGTTTGCTGCCCAGCGCCGGGACAAGCAGAACTGGTTGGCAACAGTTGGCTTAGTGAGAACAGCTTCGACATCTTTCTGCCGACATGCATTTGCAGATTTGGTCTGGTCTTCCGTTGGTTGAGGTCCAGATTCTTCCGATGTTCATGGCAATCAATCTGGGAACAACGTTCATTTCGGGATGCGCAAGCTGAGGTCTTGTGGAACATTTTAGCGCTTCCGGTCTCCTTCTGGCGGATGCAGCACGCCAGTGACGAGCCTTGGCCGTGTTTTTTTTTTTTTTTTTTTCCGGAGCAGAGGGCCGGCCATGGGTACGAGCCTAGCCTTCCTTGGAGAAGCTTGCAGATCCGGACTTCTCCTTTATTTTCTCCAAGTTCATGGACTTTATGTTTTTTGGGAAGAGCAGTTTAGTGGTGAACAAATAGTTCAGACTTTGTTTCGGCCTGGAAGTGAGTTGTTTCTGGGAAAGTTGCTGTCATTCCCACGCCCAAGCCGGAAATATCGGGGAATCCTCTTCGGGATCTTCATGAGCTTGTGAGCCCACCAAGTTGCCTTTTGTTCACCCACGCGTTGAGGTGATCCTGAGTTCTTTGAGCATCCTCTTCATGTTCAACTTGGACGACCTCTCCGGGGCTGCTGGCAGTGTGCTGGGTGTCAGCAATGCCGAGTTTCAGCGGGGCCTCTGCTGGAATTACGTGTCTCGGCGGAAGCGTCGGATGGTGTGGGCACTAGGGAAGCCTGATGATGGTTGGAAAAATGTCCCAAATTTGGGGGAGCCCGCCCGTAACTGACCAACCGCAGACTGCGTCCGAACAAATGTTTGCCTTTGGGAAGCGTTCATCAAGAAAGCCTGAGTATGGCAAGCTGCGCCCATCTCCAGAGCATCAGGCGCCAAACCACGAATCGCTTGCGCGCGAATCGTGAACATGATTGCCCCCTGTTTCGAATACTGGCAGGGCAACACTTTCCCCCGCTCTCTTCTCATTACATGCTGGGGGGAGTTTCCCTCGCTCTCTTCTCATTACATGCTGGGGGGACTTTCCCCCGCTCTTTTCTCATTACATGCTGGGGGGACTTTCCCCCGCTCTCTTCTCATTACATGATGGGGGAACTTTCCCCCGCATGCTGGGGGGACTTTCCCCCGCTCTCTTCTGGTTATCACAATGGCTTCAACCACTGAAACCAGCGAGGAAACAACCGATAGCAATGATAAGGTTACGGCTCTTGGTTACGTGTTTGTTTCCAACCAGCCTGAGTTATCAACCATAGGTAACCCTCAGGCGCCAATACCTGTGCCATCAGCGGTCGCTTTGCATTTTGCTTTGCTAACCATCCTTCTTGCAGCTTCATTTGTAGCTTCTGATGTGAAGGTTGTCACATTTTCAGTGGGCTGTTTCCGCTTTGCGCCGCGCGGGCGCATGTTGCAACCCATGGGGCGACCGGTGCAGCCATCTCGGCTCTTCTCTTAGTCGCAGGTCTAGCAGCGAACCAAACTTTCCCAGCTGGTGCGAGGGAGGCTACCCATTGAACGAGCGGGCCACAAGTTGACTTTAAGGCGACGCATCACACGGACACACACACATACGACATGTAAATATGGAACTCACATGCAACCAATACCTGGAGACCAGAGCCACCAGCTCGCACCAGCTGGGATCGCGTCTCTGATCGAGGGCCAATGCAGGCGCGGAGTCGCTCGAGTGCGTCGGTCACTGGATTGCATTGCTCTGGCCAGAGGTGTCAGTGAGGCATGTGCTCTCGCCCCCGCTCTCTGGACTCTTAAGAAGAACATTCGGGTAAGCAAGAACCCAACACTTTTTGTTTGACCAACTGAGGAAGTGGTCCTGCCACTGCCCATTGATCATGTTCAACCTTTGCAAATGCTTCTGTGTGCATGCTCAGTTCATGAGTTGCAGCTTCACAGACAGGGCCCTCGGCCTAGCTAGAGTCAATGCATCTGCCCGCAAGCCTCTTCCACAGTAAAATGGCTTGGGAAAGAGACGCCTCGCACCTATGAATTACTGTTAGGCGAGGCTTAGGTCAACAGCGGGGTACCAACCAAAATGCGTGGTTTCCCTTGGGTGCCCGTGTGTCCTCATATCCCTTGAAGAAAGACAGGCTGGAAAGAGGGTTTGGTCATTCGTCTGGAAAATGCCTAGGTCCCCCTGCGCTAGGTGCCCTTTCTCACCAAAGCTTTATTGGGGGAGGGTCTTCTAAAATAGGCCACAGACAAAAGGGCACCCTTATGTTAACCTCTCTTCTGGAGGATAGATGCAAGAGGTGACTGACACGGAAGGAGATGTAGCCTGACCAGAGATGACTTTCTCCTTCGCCACCCCCTTCCCTCTCGCTTCCGTTCTTTGCGAGGCTTAGGGAAGGGACCTGACGGACTTCGCCATTTCTCAGATCCTTTTTTTTTGGGAGGGCGAGGAATGGTATAGAGAAGTGATTGAAATGAGGGGAATAGGCATGCCATGATGACAAGATTGTTTTGTGTTTCAGAAAACTCGAATGGCTTGCCCAAACCCAGTCTCACTCCTTACAGTCAGGGCATAAGGCGGCAAGAAATCGATTCCCGAAGCCGGGTGAAAGAAGAGAGTCCGCCCTGTCCCACAGACCGATCTTACTAAAGGCACGGGAGAATGGTTCGAGCTGGTCCAAATTCTATGACTTGATTCTTGTTCCAGCTCGCGGTCTATTCGTTCACTCACACCCTCCCATAGACAAGTTGTATCATAATCCTGGCGGGCCCTTGTCTTATCTCTTTGTTTCCCATCTTGTCAGTATCTGCAAATGAAAGGGAAAATGGATATGATGTTTGACCGGCGACATTTATCCTTGATTACTGAAACAAAGACACGGGGGGGATGTCCATGCACCAGCCTGCTCTAGCCAAGCGCGCATCGCCAGACTCAGTCATTCAGACTGACCAGCTTCCATTTGCTCAAGTTGGTTTTCAAGGGAATCTATCACTGGACAAAATGCGCAAAATGTCTCTTCTTGTCCTGGGGATGTCTCAGCAGTTGGAGGTATCCAGGCCTTCCAATGATACACTTTTCTCCCAAGGTTTTGCTGGTAGCGTGGCTTTTCTTGCCGCAGGCGGATTACGGAGCCACTGCCAACAAAGCCAGGAAGAGCTCGATTAGGCTGGGAGTTTCTTGCGCGTTGGGTGCTAGGAACCGCTTGCCTCTAATTGGGGCCTGAAATGGGATTCGGTAGAGCGCGAACTTTGACATGTGGGTCTATCTTTTTGCAAGGGTACTTATTTCACGCGGGGTCTGCTAAGGGAAAGCCACAAAACTACCAACTTTGTATGTCAAGTCCCCGAAAGAGAGAAGAAAAAAGCAAAAAAACCGACACACTCAATTGTTGGCCGGGAGAGGCCACAAGTTCGGCGCAAGTACTTTGAAGCTGTGTCCCGCAAATGGTCGCAGCATTGCAGACACGGAATGGCAAGCTCTCAGAACTGGGGCTTTTGTAAGCCTCAGCTTCCCTTCACGGAAACAGGGGTCATTATTTTCAGGGTTTCTGGGGGTATCAAAGTCAGAAAAGGGGTTTGTTTTCCTTTAACCCACCACTTAGGGGGTGACTTTGACCATGGTAAAATAATGAGGCCAGGGAAACGCCTCAAACTCCTTATCCCTCAAAATGCATCTTATGAGTTGGTTGCGGATGTTGCGCCCCCTCCCCCGGTCGTCCCAAGTTGCATGATCTCGCCCATGATCCATCGGTGGCATGTTTAGCTCCTGGTGCCATTCAGGAAGTGTGTCTTCGGCCGCGAATGAGACCTCGTATATTTCCACACAGGGTACGCACAAGTTGTAATGCAGGCAGCTGATGTTCTTGCAGTCGACGGTCAATCTGGTGGCATGTGATTCAGCCCTTCACTTCTCCTCCCACTTGCACGGCAGCCCTTGGAAGGGCCCCAGTCGGGTGCCATGTTAGTGGGAGAGAGGTTATAAGACTTTGCATGGCTTGTCCGGAGGGATTTGCCAGAGACTTTTTTCAAAGCAGTGTGGCACTGCATCAATGTGTCCGTGGGCGACCCTTCCAAATGGTCCTTGAAACCAGCCAAAACGTGTTTTTTTTTTAAGCGAAGCACACTACACCAGTTCCTGCAAGCAACACGTTAACCCACAACCACACCAACACAGAGATCTCCAGTGGGCAAAGTGTTTGGAACAAGAGCCCCGAGGCCACGCGGAGCCTTTGTTGCCAGGCGCGACCCGGAACGCCAAGATGCTTCGAGGCATGGCAACTCCGCGCTATTGACGGCGGCCTGGCCGAAGCTGAAAGTTCGGCTTTCCGTGCTGCGTGGTTTGGAGTCGTGCTGAGGTGTGAGCGGGGTAATTGTCCATTTGCCCAAAAGAACTGGAAGCTCAATTCGGACTCAAAACCACCAATCCAAATTAAGGCGTACCTGCCAAATGGTCGATTTCTGGATGGTGTCCCTTAAAATCCGACTTGTTTTCTTTAACGCTGCGAAAAAGTTTGGCTTCTGACCGAGCCATAGCCAACTTAGTTGGCATGATAACTCGTTGTGTTACTATTCCAGCCGTCGACGTGCTTTTGCAACAATTCGCGTTGGCCTTTGTCCGCTCAACTTTTGCCATCCGTCTGATATCAGGCAAACACCATGCATTCTCCACGCAGGCATGTTTGCAATGACCCTGGAACAAGATTTCGAAAACGGTTTTTGGATGCGACTTTTGTGGATCCACTCCTGTAGGATATTCAAAGAGTAATACACCAGATAAGGGAGAAGAACTGGTGAAATCCACAAAAAAGCGCATTCGAACCGTTTTCTAGACAAGCTTTTGGCAAGGCAGGTGCCAAGCTTGAGCGTGAGGGGACGAGGGAAGGCTCAGGCAGATCCCCCTGAAAAGCACTTCAATTCGAAAGAGTGAGGATGTATCTATGGCTGGCTCGTTTTTTGAGGGTGCTTCTTTCTTGCGATGTTACAGGACACACCACAAGGAAAAACACATGTGTTTTCTGGCACAAAACCGGCTTGCTGTTGGCAGATGCACCTGCGAGAATGCAATGTGATTTTGGCATGACCGTATGGGCCACACAAAGGCTGTACATACGTCTAAGGCAATCCTTTGGATGCTTGGTCTGAAGAGGACGTCCCACCTTATAAAGCCTTTGTGGGGCCGGTGATTCGCCGGTGTTTTTTCTCAGAGCTGGCTATTTTGGGCATGATCGGAGCCAGTTTTCAATCATACGACATGTATTGTTTATGAGCGGCAAGTAAGGACAGCAAGTCAGCCCCCCCTCGATTTTTAGGGCATCGGATCGAGTGTTCGGCCTTCCGGCAAGTGATTTGTATGGTTCTCCTGCGGGCAATTTCTCGCTTCCTGAGTCTCGGGCTTTAGTCACTTGGGAAGACCATGTTGGTTGTCTCAGAAAGTTTGTCCACTTTTTTTTCGCCCATTCGATCGGATGTGACTTTTTGGAGCGACTCCAAACATGAATTCCGCAAAGCGTTCCCCACCTCCACCTGGGAAGTATGCCACAGACCTCTTTGGCTCGTGGATTGCTTCGGTCTCAAGTGTCCGGATCAGGGTTGTGGGATCAAGGGGTTAATCCCCACTTCTGTGATACAAGGAAACCTTCCCCTTTTTATGGGGGGTTCGTCTTTGGGAGGCCAGTTCTGTTGTATCATAGAAGTGGGTTCCATTTTCCACAGCCCTGGTCCGCATCGTATGTTTGACTTTGGAAGTGGGCTGCTTCCTGAGCTGACCGGTGCCCAGGACCTTTGGATGGCTTGCTTGGGCTTCAGGCATTTCCCGCTGCTTTTGTAGGGGGTTTTCCAGTCGTCAACATCTCCCATCCCCTTGTTTTCAGGCTTACAACACATCAACCGCGACCATCAGAGCTGTCCCTTTTAGGTTAGTTCACGGGTTTCGGCGGGTTTTATGCCTCATCTACCACGCATCTATTGTCCAACGAGGGCCATCCCTTTTCAGCGTGTCAGCCGTCTATGGCGACCATCTATCCATCTATACCGTCCAAACTAGGGCCATCTTTCCATCCCCTTTCTGGGGCCTGACCGAAAAAAACACACACCTCTTGCACCATGAAAAGTGGTAAAAGCTGAAAAGTGGTAAAAGCTTGTCTTACCCCTCAGGACGCCTATTCAGGTGGCCCTGAATTGGTGGTTGGGATTGGTGGCTTGGATTCCCCATTGGTTTGCACCCCTGCGAAACCACCCAAACCACCATCACTATCAAAAGGCTTCCGAGTTTCGCTCCGCCTCGCGTTTTTCGCGTTTTTCTCGGGGAGTGGCGTCAGGCAGGGCTCCTCATCGCCGATGTGGTGGGCGCAGGCGTGCTCGCCATGGGCCACTCGGCCGCCTTGTCCCGCTGGCACGAGCGATCCGGCTCAGAGCGCGAGTTGGACGTGTCCAGGTATTTTTTAGGGGTCCCAAATTTTGGCTGCATAAAGTAATCATTCCACAGAAGCTGTGTGTTTGCGATTTAGATTAACCAATGATTCAACGGCGGCTGTTTGTTTGCGATTCGGCGATTTGAGCTGGAAGCTTTCTTGCGCAGCTGGCGTGCCGATGTCTTGCATGTTCTGAACACAAAGCAAAAAGGAGCCAGAATCTATGGCAGTTAGATTGCTTCTTATGTCCAACTAAGCTTCCCTTTTATCTTAGGCGTGGGCCGCTGCACGGTGCTTGCGAGTAAAACTTACCTCTTAAAAACACAACACTTTTCTCAACTTTTTGGGTAACATGGGCTATATGTTTGTAAAAGATTAGCTTCCCCAAGGCTTGGAGTTTTAAGGGGTAAGAAAAGTGCGAGTGATTGTGGGTAGCTCGTTGGATTCCTGGTGACTAAGCTGCCGGCTTGGGCTTCAGGACGGCGAGCGAGCAGCCAGATATCTCGGAGTCGTTCTAAAGGTCCTTGGAGTGCCCTATGCGATGCTCCTCCGAATTACACCCAAGACCCGCTTTTAGGGCATCATGTCAACCTTTTAGTTAAGTAATATAGTATGTACTACGGAAAACCAGGTTTCCCCACCAAATGCAATTGAATACATCTGAGCATTTTCCATGGAAAACATGCTTATTTTTAATGACCCTTAAACACAAGAGGGCTGTCCCTTTCACCCCACGCCACCCCACACCACACTACACCACACCACACCACACCCCACCCCACCCCACCCCACCCCACCCCACCCCACCCCACCCCATCCCACCCCACCCCACCCCACCCCACCCCACCCCACCCCACCCCACCCCACCCCACCCCACCCCACCCCACCCCACCCCACCCCACCCCACCCCACCCCACCCCACCCCACCCCACCCCACCCCACCCCACCCCACCCCACCCCACCCCACCCCACCCCACCCCACCACCTCCCCCCTCCAAAAAATAATGAAAAAACACAACATGCTCAAAACAAATTGATCGTATTTGGAGTAGCTTGTATGTCTGCACAGCCTTGCTTTCGCGTCGCTCGTCGTGCTAAACCCCAGGCCAGGCTGTGGCCAAGCTGGGATGGGCCATGGGCATTTTGGGCATCTTCCTGATGCTCGCCCCTCGGTCCCAAAAAAATCCCAGCGAGCGGGGCGCTAGGGGGTGACCGGTGGTAGGGCCGATGGTGGGGGCTGGTGGGCCGGTGGGTAGGGCCGGTGGGTGGGGCCGGTGGTAGCAAAGTGGTTTAGTTGAAGTTCTCAGCTGGTGAGCCTTTTTGTTTGTTTGTTTCTTCCTAGCCTGCCAGATGGGGTTCTTAGGTTTCAGGTCGAGCCGGCCGCTCCGGAAAGCAAAGCAGGTCCAGACGGTATGCTGTTCGTTTGTTGAATTGCTTCAGTCGATGCATTGCGGCGCTTTGGCTTTGTGTGTGTATTTGGTTGACAACGCCAACCGTGGGCTTGGAAGGTTTGGGATCCTCCAACACATGTTGGTTTTGGATGGTTTTGGGGGTGTCTTTTGCCATGGGCCACGAGTCTGGGGACACCTTGCCCGATTTCTGAAGCATCGCTGAAGGGCCTTGTGCTAGGACCTTGTTGCAAGCGGTGTTGCTTCATGTTTTTGTGGATTCGAGAGATGTGAAGCAGTGGCCTTTGTCATTGTACTTGGGAGGTGTGTTGCCTTTGGACGGGGTGCTGGGAGACATCGCCAGGCACCCGAAGCCAGTGATAGTCAGGCGGTCAGGCGTTTGTGCCGTGTTGCTACCTGGAGTAGTGTCCTTGTTTCCTTATTCTGGGGAAGGGTTTCCCTTTAAAGTCAACCAACCACAAAAAGGATGCCCTTTTTCTCCTATGGCCACTAGGCATCTGGGAGGAAGAACCTTGCCAAAGAGGGGGGATCTGGTTCGTTGGCCGTGGCTCGGCTCCAATCGGAGCGCAAGGAGATGTTGCGGTTCTTTCGGCTTCCCTGTCCTTTCAAGAGAAGAGAGGGCCTGGGAAATCCGTTGGCCCGTATGAACCAGGCGCTTGGAGCCAGAAAGCCCAAGGCTCAGGCAAATCCGCATATTCTTTGGACGGGTTTTCGCTTGGCCTGGCAGTCTCTGGATCTGGCCTGCGATCGCCTCCCGCTGCTCCGCTGCTGAGGCCATGAATGCCCACATCATGATGCTCGTTTGGCGGGCCGCTCCGAAGATTTCAGTGCACTTTGTGCTCACGTGGCCATTCCTGGGCAGAAAACATGGTACCCTGATCCCAACTTTTGCCAACTTTTTGGGGGGAGGGTTCCCCTGCGACAATAGACAGACAAACATGGTGCCAACTTATTCTAACCTCTCCGGAGGACCTAGCCCGTGCGTATCTCAGCTGACGCTTTTTCGCAAAAAACAAATTGGAGAGTCGCCGTGCCTTTCTCCGCGGCACGGCTGCCTCAGGTGCATCGATTGTATCCAGCTCCTGGGCGAGCAAAGTGGAAGCAACCTGCGGGATGGATAGCTTCGCTAGCTGTATTGAATATTGCATATATATGTTAATATATATATATATATATTATATGTTTTGTCGGAGTTCAGTTGCTCACAACATATCTTGCCAGGGGCTACCAGCTACAGCTAAGCCGGAGCAAAAAGCCAGGAACGCTTCTGCCAATGGTCATTAATCCCACGTCCTTGCACCAAAGTCCCTATATTTTCCCTTTTGGTGATTTTAAGCATTACTTTTGTGGCCCATTTAAGGTGAGTTTGCCTTCAGAAACCAAGAGGATCATCTTGACCATGTGCCCGCATGGTTCAGAGCCGCCCTCGTAGGCTACGGCTTAGGCTGAGCCCTCGGATCCGTTTGCTCTTAGCTCTACTGCTACTTTTTTAGCTTTTTGGACTCTAACTTGTTGGATCTTGGGTTTAAGGTTTACTGCTATGATTGGATCTTTAGACTTTAGCTTTTTGGATTCCACTCATATTTCCTTTTAACCAGCTGGGGGATCTACAGAGCCCAAGTTAGAAGGAGAACCGGAGAACCCGGCGTCGCCTTGGGAGTGCATCCGGAGTTTCAGAAAGCCAAGTTGTCGCGGGGGTTGCAAGTTGGCCCCTTGCCTACTTCCATTTGCTTAAGAATATTTTCTGTTTTCCCTGTTGGTTTTAAAGGGAATCTATCACTACTGGAAACATATATATATATATATTTGTTTTTCAGGGGCTTAAGCAAATGGACGCCTAGGCCCTTTACCGCTTCCCTTGTCTGAACCTTCGCTTTTTGCCGCCATGCCAAATACCCAGTCTTGGGGGATGTGTCAAGAAGTTGCGGGCCCTTGTGCCTTTGCAAGGGGAAGTACCTTAGGATGAGCCACTGCTTCGCCAACGTTGGTAGCTTGAGTCAGCTGAGCAAAAGTGGGTCAAAAGCATGTGATCTATCGCCAAGTGACCAGCCTGCTCTTTGGACTTTGAATCTTCAACCTATAGGGAAATGAACATTTCCCATGAACCGACAGCTAGTATCCTCTCACCCTTTGTGCAACCTGACTTGCGGTCCTATAAGTATTCTTCCAGGTGCCGTTCGGTGGGTTCCAGGGTTCCGCCACGCGGGACAAATAGGGCGGTTGATCAAAAGACATGGGGTCACCACTAGGGAAACGACCACTTTCACCTTGGAAAAGTTACCCATGGTCATTGGGGCATTTGGGGGCCGAACGGAAGAATTGATCAAGTCCAATGTGCTTTCACCCCTGGCCGGAGGATTGAAACTTCTGAAACCTCCAGCCCCTTTTTTTCACACCTACCCGAAATCAGCTCCATTTTCTCAGTGGTTCTCAGCCATCCGGTCCCTTCGCTTTTCTTCTTTTTGGTGTTTGGTGGTTAGACTTCCATTTCACCTGCTCAAAGTCATTCACTTTGAGCGGTTTGGATCTGAGGGCAGCCCAGTTTTGTGTGTTTGGAGTCGAGGACGCCAAGACCTACCGGGAGTTGGCGTGCGCGGCCATCGAGCGCGCCCACCCGGACAGGATGGAGCTGGCCGAGAACCTCGTGAGACCCGGCGAAAAGTTTGAAAATTCGGCGCCTCCGGCGCCCGATCTGGCAACAAAAGTTTTTTCCCAGCTCACCTCAGTCACTTCCTCAAAAACCGGAAGGGAAAAAACAACAAAACATATTGAATAACGGACGATCGCAGCCAGAACTGGGGGGCGTATATCCGCCTTGCCAATTCTTTACCAGAGGTTTTGGGCAGACCACCGGATTTTGATTTCTTACTTCTCCAGAGGTCGACTTTCTATTCTTCGCTGTACTGGGTTCATGTTTTTGGCTCCTGAAAGCTTGCCCGAACATGTGCTGGGTGTCCAAAACCCTGTAATTTTCCAGGGTTTTTTGTGGGCTTGCCTGCTAAAAACCTGCGTTTCGCCTAGTTCTCTAGGGGGGGGGTTCCCCCGGACACGCAGGATCCGCATCCCCACCATCATCAGGGTTACCTTGCTGCTATGAGTTTGTCTCTTTTTGCTTGCAGATGCCAATGGTGCTTTGCTGGTTCAGGCGATGTTGGAATCGGCGTGTTAGGGGTCTGGGTGGGGCCAAGTGCAGTGATACGTTGAGGAACTTCTTGAATTTGCGAAAACGAGCGTTGCTTGCAATTCCCCACAACGGAGCAGTTCCTGCGAAACATCCCCTTGCCAGGAAGGCGCGCGCCTGAGGAGAGAACGTGTGAGGCGGAAAGGCTCATGCCCAGATCCAAATCTGCCTTGAACGACCCCGTCTCACTTCCTGAGTGCCTGGAGTTTTTCAGCTTTTTGGGCGGGGCATTTTCGTGGTAAACCAGAAGCTTGGACTTTTTCCGACCAATCCCCTCGATTGGAAGTCAGCCTTTTGGTTAAATCCACGTCAATTTGTCTGTTAATCGGGGAATCCCATGCCTCCAAGTTTGTCTAGGTCCCCAGTAGCGCCCTTTTGCCCTTTTTGGGGGGGAGGGTTCCCCTACTAAAACAGACTACCTAGTTGTCTTTTGCGGCTCTCTAGCTTTCAAGCATCGCCCCAAGCCCACTGGAGGTACCGAACATAGTGCATGTTGTTAGACCCTCTGAAACCGGCACAGTGGGATACGCTGGGCCCAAGTTGGAGCAACTCATAGTTGAAAGCTCTGGTCTTCCTTAATTTTCTTAGGGGTTTTTGCGGGCTTTCGGGGGAGGTTCCTGAACAAGGAGGGCCTTGGGGGAGGTTTAGGGAACCTCCCCCGCTTTGGACCACCTCCCCGGAGGGAGGCAACTCCATGCGAGCTGAGGCTGGTCGCCCAGTACCTCTTCGTCTTTGCCACGCTGGCCTTGTACACGCTGAGTATCGGCCAGGGGCTGGGGATGCCGCCCGGACCAGATCTGGTCCGACCGGCACTGGTTTGTACCTCAAGTCTCCTTCTGACCCTGTACAAATGGGTCAATGACCCCGTTATTTTGGGCAATGACCACATTTTTAGGGTCAGAAGGAGACTGCAGGTTTGTTTTTGTTTGGCTGCGGCCAGTGGAAAAGCGGCCATTCTAAGGAACTGTCCTGGTGAGCCTTCTGGTGGGGTTAATGGTTTTTACTGAGGGAAACCAAAGCTGTTTTGAGAGGTATTCCCTTTTCAGGCTGGTGTCTTTATGGCTGTTTGGTGTCGGATCTCTGGAAAGCTTGCGAATGGAAAGTCCGGATCTTCCAGAGGGGACCCACAAAAAGTGGAAAAAAACTGCTTGCAGACGGGTCAACAGCAACCAAGACGAAGACTTCTATTTGAGTTACCAGGTGAGTTGTCAAACTTCAATCTTTTTGTTGCCGCGCTTCTTCAATGATGTCAAGGTCTAAAAAGGTTGACACTTTTCTGGCCAGTCAAAACTGAGCAGGCCCCCAATAGAGGGGCCCCCATACATATTCCGCTTGTGGGCAAACGGAAGATCATGTATGGAGGGGAGGCGCCTCCAGGTTGTCCTAGCTCTCAAAAAAGCTCAAAGGCTTCATGCGGAGGGGTCACCGTGTTTCGTGTTGTTTTCTAGGTGCCCCAGCTAGGTGCGCTTTCTCGCCGCTTTTTTGGTTGGGAGGGTTCCCCTACTAAATAGACTACAGGAAAAACGGTATCCTTATTCCAACCTCTCTACTAGAAAACCTAGTTTTTTTTCTCCCCGCAGGTCCAAATGTCACTTTTGTGTTGTAACGTGCAATTCAACTTCCTCTTGGGTGTGGTGGTTCATGGAGACATACAGAATACAAGGGACCCTGATTGCCGTTGGCAAAAGTGTCCCGGTGATTGATCCGTTTGAGATGTGGAACATTGGCTTGATTTATTTCCCAGGATCCTGGCGGAATGTAATTGTGATTATTTGAGGGTTTTAGGGGCTGACTCCTCCAACACTACGGTGAAAGGTTGCTGACACATACTTGCAATCATCAGGACATGTTCAGCACATCACAGGCGGGGCTCAGGCAAACCTTGTCGAATTCCAAGCACCTGAAGAGTTTCATGCGACTTGTTTCTAGGAAAACTAGCCCAGCAATTCACATTCAAACTGCCATTTGCCCGGCCCCTTTAAAAGGAAATTGGCTTAGGGCCCCCCCAAACGTCGAACGGTTCCATGTGAAAAGGCTGGGAGGGTAACTATACTTCGCACTTTTTCCAAAAGCGCCAGATCGGTGGGCGAAAGCGGCACAAGTTTCACTTCTGGCCTCATGGGTATATGATTTGAGAAAGGCTGCCGGAAAGTTGACTAACTGCATGGTTGTTCCTTTTGAGTTTGGGCGCATCGGTTCAGAAGCAGTGCATTTCCGTACCAACACCTTGGATCCATCTATGTTCTTTGCAACCTTGGCACCTTACTCACAGAATCCATGGCTGTGTGCTTTGCTCAGGTTTTTCTATGACGTGCACGCATGCCTCCCACTCTGGACCTTCGTTGGCTGCATGTTGCTTCTGCCCTTGAACCTGTCCGCGCGCTTCCTTGGCTCTTTTGCAGGCTCTGCTCCTTTGCTGCATTGGCCGTTGGTCGGCAGGCTCGAGTTGTCGAGGAGGGGTAGGTTATTAAAAGCCCTTGGCTGGCAAAAAATGAGAACGGAAGCTCTGCGTCGATGTGTGGATACGGTTGATCCATCTACTCGTTGGCGTCTCCGACCGATGGTCGCATTGCATACTGGATGAAAACCGCCAGCGTTTGAGTCGCACAATCGGTGGGTTCATTCGAGTTCCTTGGAATCACATCAGAGGAAATCTCAGAAAACATGGATCCCTCCCCACCCCCGCAGCGGCGTTTGACGGGTCCCTCACTTGGATTTTCGGGCAAGTGGGTGGTTAGACACCTGAGGTATAGCCCACGAATGACAGGGTTAGCTCGTTACCCAGGTTGCCAACCAACTTACTAAGTTCGCCGAACAGGTGGGATCCCTTGAGCGCTCGCTGGTGCTCAGGTGATGTTCAACTGCCTCTGCACTGTGGGCACAGCCGCTCGGATGCATTTTCCGGTCGTTGTGTCATCTGAGGGTGCTGAGCAGTGTCTCCAAGGCGACAAGCAAATCGACCTTTGAACCTGTTGCTTTGTTTTGTCTAATGTTGACCCCGGATTCATAAACCCCTCCCATTATTAGGGGGGGTGTTCCCTCCAAAAGTGGTGAATCCCCACTAAAAGGGGACACCCCCCTATTAATCAACCTGGGGTTTATTAATCCGGGGTTAACATTAATTTGGTCCATAGTCAAGGCTCTGAAATGGCGATCACCTTGTATTCCCAGGTCCGCTGGGCAAGTCAGCCAGTTAGTAGTCCATATTTTTGTTCAAGCGGAAGCCACACGGGGAGGTCAGTTTGTGGTGGGAGGGCGGTCAGGTTCTCATCCCCATTGCTTGGATGGCCTGGCAAGGCGCGAGTGGGGCGTCGGGGGCGCGTGATGGGTTGTGTTTTCGTGCATGCGATTCTGTGATAGTGGTTTGCAACCCGAAATTCTTTGGGCAGTCAATATAATATATATATATATGATATGTATTTCCAACCAATGGGCCAACGTGGTAGCAGCTCGCACAAAAAAACATTTCCTGCTCTTGATTGGTTTTCTTCAGCTTCCCTCCAGTTGGTGGTTTGGATGTGTGGATCGGGGGATTGGTGGTTAAGAAGTGGTTCCCATGCCAGGGTTCAAATCTCCAAACCACCAATCCAAGCCACCAATTTGCGGGAAGCTGATTTCTTCCTACCTAGAGTCTCTATGACCCAAATCAAAAATTGGTCATTGACCACCCATTATCTTGGGTAACCCCAATTGTTAAGGGTCAGAAGGAGACGCCAGGTACAAAAAAGGGCTTCTCAGGTTCCCAGGTGCCCCAAGAAAAAAAAGCATATCGGCGCTCAAGAAGGCCCACGGCTCCCGTTTGGTCAACTCTGACAAGGCCGGCTCCGAATTGCCCAAGCTCGGGCTGGCCTTGGTTTTCCAAGGGCCCGCAATCACAGGGCCTTTCTTGATTTTTATCTTGCTTGGACAAGGGTCATCAGCCAAAGGCGCCGGCTTTTTCAGGGTGGAAGATCAAGGCCTGCGATTGCCTGACCAGAAGCCTGGGAGCGCCTGAAAATCGGCTCCGAAGCCTTCGGATGGGGATAGTGAGAAAAAAAACAGTCAGGGAACCCCCCGGTGGTGTTTTGAGGTTTTAAGCATCACCTGGTGGTTGCCAGTTTTGGTTTTTGAGCTTCCTGGTGGGGTGATGTTTGTTATGGGGGGAAATATGGCTGCTTTGAGGTATACCCTTTTCAGGTTAGTGTTTTTTAAGCCTATTTGCTTGGGTCTTTGGACTGTTTTTGCTGTTTGACACTGCGTGGATTTCCCATTGGACAACATTTCAACTGCGTTTTTGCCAGAGGGGTCCCAACAAAAAGCCAGCAAGGTGTTTCACAGAGAAGCTGAGGGAAGTCCATTCTCTAAGTGCTTGAGACCTGGGGCGCCCTGCGGCCCGCAGGCGCAGAGGTGACTCGACCGAGTGGGCAGCACTTCGAGGCGATTGCGTCGAGTTTCTCCATGCGCCTCGGATGGCGGGTGGGTGGAGTGGGCCTGGGTGGCCTGGGTGGGCCTGGGTGGGCCTGGGTGGGCCTGGGTGGGCCTGGGTGGGCCTGGGTGGGCCTGGGTGGGCCTGGGTGGGTGGGTGGGTGCGTGGGTGGGTGGGTGGGTGGGTTGGGTTGGGTTGGCTAGCCAGGAGTGGTGAAATTGATATAAGCCTAGCAAGAGTTTGGACTATAGCATGTGATGCCCCTTTGAACCCCAAAAAGAGATCCATCAAACGAGATGCCCTCGCGCTCCCTTTTTGCGTCGGTTTCGCGGGCGGAAAGTGGCAAACACTTTGGAACAATGCACTGGGCTTCCCCAGAATCGCTGGCCTCCAGTGTCTGCTTTTTCAATGTTTCAGTTGTACCCCGTGTCTTTTTAGGCAACTCTGCGCCAGAGGACGCATTCGGTGGTTTGGGCATTGGAACTCCTGGCTTTTGTAGAGGACAACTGGGAAACCACCCCTTAACAACCAAACCACCAACAGGAGTGAAGCTGAACTGTTTTTGTCAGTGCCGCAACGCTTCGTCTTTTTTTCCGGGTTCCTTTTCGTCTATGGACTTAATCGAAGGCGGCAAGGAAGGCCGTCCATCGCATCTAAGGACGGCTGCTGTCACCTCTGCATCTTGGCTGTAAGAAGAATTTGTTGGACCTCCACTACCGTGTGAAAGGGGCATAGTGGCATATTTCAGATGGAGGGCCCCCTGCCCTACATGTTCCCCTTCTATTTGCATAAGAATATGTTGTGATTTCTCTGTTGGCTTAAAGGGAATCTATCACCACTGGACATTTTTGTTATTCTTCCGGGGAACTTAAGCACATGGAGCTCCCCTCTGTGGGCATAAGGAATTAGGGGCGGAAATCCCCCGAACGGTGGTCGCAGCGCAACAGGACCCGGGCGTGGGGCGTGGACGTCTCCGAAAGCGATTTGCACCTTTTGCAAACGAGTGGGAGGCTGTTTTACTCTCCCACCTTTTTCACATGGAACCGGACAGGGGGCCCTTTACAAGGAAAATGGTCTCCTAGAACCCCCCAAACGCCAGGCTCCATGTGAAGAGAGTGGGAGATTAGACCTTTTTCAGTCCGACGCTAGCTTCCCGCACCAGGGGAGCCCAAGCAACAAGCCAACGCTTCGCCAGGTTCAAATCCACCGCCACCAAAAAAAAAGCTCAAGTTGAATCGATTCAAACCACTGGAGAAAAGCCAAGGGTTGGAGACTCTAAATTCTGCTAAGCTTTGCCAGGTGTGTTTTGCAGGCATGTGGGCCAATCATTCAGAGACAAGTCTTCTGTTAGGGGGGCCGCAAGCCGAGTCTTGCCTGGCAATGCATGGCTAGCGCATTTTGTGCAAAGGGTCAACATTGGGGTCCAGATGCTTGGTGCGAAGTAGGCCACCGGATTTGACACCGAAGACTCTCAGAGGCTTCAGGATGCTTCGGGCAAGCTTCGAGCCAACAGAAATCCACTGCCCCATCGGCCCATCGTAAAGCAACAGCTGGTCAGTACTTCTCACCTTTGTCTTCTAGTGCCATTCCTGCCTTTCGCTTTCCAGCCAAGACAGCAGTCCACCAGGGAGTTGCGAAGTTTTGGGGAGTGTTGTAGACGTGCAAGCTGACGCTGTCTGCCTGGGAAGATTGTGGGAAGCAGGGAGTTCCTCAGTTTTGGGGGAGTGTGCCTTGAAGACGTGCAAGCTGCAGGACGTCCTTTTCATCCAAACCACTCCTTTACGCCAAGGCGTGCACCTTTGCGTTCGCCTTCAGCGGCCAGCTGCGCGGCCGCCAATTTCTGGGAGCTTGGATTGGGTATTTTGGCCGCGGGCTTATGTTGGCCCATGAAAAGGATGCGGATGTGGCATGTGCAGTCCATGGGTGTATTCTAGTACACTGATGCCGTTCTTTTCCTTGCTTTGCGGGAGTCAGCGCTGGCTGCGACGGCTTGCTCCCAACACCTGTGTTGGCAACGCCCCTCAGCAACTGCTAAAGGGGTTTCAGGCCATTCTGGTATCAGGGAGTTTGGTGTGCCGTTCTGCCGTTCCAATCCTTTTCAGAGAGGTTTGAGCAGTGATTATTGTACTGTGCAGGCCACTTGTGTTTTCAGTATTTGTCTTGAAGAAATCTGGTTGCGAGGGGCGAATCAAAGGCAATGTATTTGGCAATGTATTTTGGCAATTAGTTATTGAGATTCTAGTCGCCTAGCAGCTGGTTTCATTTAATCCCACCCTGTTGCACCTCGAGGACTCGACTGGAACCAGGCCAACAGAAAAGTGCAGTGGATGTGATGATGTGGTCTTGGCCTTTGGCTTTTTCACAGGCAGAGGCATAAAGGCGAAGTGCCAAAGGGACCAGGCCATAATGGCTCCGCCATGTGGCAGGTGTTGGCAAGGCGGGAGGTTGTTGGCTGAGACATTTGCTTTGAATTGCGCAAAGTGCCAAGGGACGTCATGACAATGCCTTCACGAAGTTTTGCGGCCATGTGCTTGAAGCAAAGTCGACACAGTGGACATGTGTAAACAGGGCTCCTTAAAAGGTACATGTTGCAACCATTTGAAACATGGCTTTTTCAACACCAAAATAATGAGAGACCATTTACAAGTTGCAATGTTCAGGTGTTTTTCATGTAAGGATCCCTGGTAAACTTACTTGGGGTTTAACGTACCCGTCACAGTCGCCAAACACCAGGAGAATGCCCAAAGTGGCATGATCGTGCATGCCTTGCATGCGTCATGCATATCATAAGGTCCGAGCCTTGGCGAAGTGACCCTCCAGTCGTCCCCCTGTGACAGGGCTCCACAAGGGCCATCAAAAGACCAAGCTGTTGGAGGCAACTGCTGTTTGAAGTATCTTCGGTCCCCCTGTGCAGGGATAAACCTAAAAAAAACCCGGGATTGTTTTTTGCAAGATCTCCACCAGGCTTGGGATAAACCCGTCTCAACCTGGAGTCTCCATGACCCTTAGAAAGATGCTCTCATCACCCAAAATAATGGGGTCATTGACCCATTTTTGCTTCGGGTCAGAAGGATATGTCTTATGGACATGTTTGATATTCGGGTCAAAGAAAAAAAGAAAAAAAACTCCAGGTCTCCTTGTTGTTTTTTTTCTTCTTCTTTCGGCTCCCCAAATAGCTTCCCTGTTTTAGGTTCATCCTGGTGGAGATCATGTCGGAGATGGAGGACCTCGAGGAGTTCCCGAAGGCTCCGAGATCCGAGAAACGGCTTCAGTGTCCCCCAGCTAGGCGCCATTTGTTTTTTACCAACTTTTTGGGTTGGGAGATTCGGTTCCCCTACTAGAATAGCAAAAACAAAAAACAAGACAACTGGGTAGCCTTATTCTAAGCTCTCTGCTGGAGGACCTAGACAGGCTTCAGGACTCACTTTGCATGTGTTGTCGCTCAACTCCAAGGATTTGGGCAAAGTCGTGTGCAAATTGCGGGTAAAATTCATTCGCCGGATTGTAAGCCCCCACAAAAATGGAGGACGGCGTGCCCTACTTGCAACACTTGGGGCAGCCATGTTCTCTCACTGTGTCGTTGGCATCGCTGAATTTTGTGGGTTTGCACCCTGGGTAGCCCGTACTTATTTTGCATGTCTTTGCGGCCATATCGCCACATTTGTTGTATTTCATATGTGGGAAGGGTGCTCCATCTTCCACTTGAGAACTGAGTTGCCAAAGCCGACCTTTTGACCTTTTGGTTTTCTGAAAATTTATGGAAAAGCTGAAAAACTCCAGGAACTCCAGGAGTGAGACTAGGCTTAAGTTCTTTGCTCGCCGTGTGTGTGAGGCAGCACATGCAACGCCCGGTTGCTGCTTACAGCTTGGGTCACCTTCAACATTGCATTCAGGAAGAAATGCTCCATATGCTCACTTGCTCAAAGGTTGGACCATTTTTGGCGGTAAATAAAAAGTGTGGACTTTTTTTGGCCGGTCTACTGTTGGGTTTTCTCCCAACTTTTGATTTAACGACGTACTGGGGGAACATGACCAAAAAAACGGTCGACAAGGTTTGGGAACTGGATGTTGGAGGGTCCTTGCCCCAAAGCGGTTTTCGTTGGCCGATCCACTTGGGAAGCGAGTTGTAGATTCGTTGAGGCTTCAGGGAACCACCAACTTGAAGTTCCGGCTCGTTAGTGGGCAGTGTCTCCCTTCCCAGAGGTTGATCCAGTTTTCGTTCGTGTTCCTTCCAAATGGGTCTGTTTTTTTTTTTCATGGACCCTCCAAAAACAAACACGAAGAAGAAGCAGAAGACGAGAACACGACGAGGAAGAAAAGGAAGAAGAAGAAGAAGAAGAAGCGGTTTTCCTCGTGCTTTCCCTTTTAAAACCACAACAAAGGGGTAACACACCCCAAATGTTCTATCGGGATCTTGGCTGTCGTGAGGCCTACCTGGGCTACTCCATGCCCTTCATGTCGTTGGCCTTTCTTGGCGTGGGCCTATCCGTGTACTACTTCCGAGGAGGGGGGGGTGCCTTAAGATGGAGCGTCCAGCATGGCTGGTTCTTCTGGTGTTCCCCCTGAAAAGCCCGAAGCAGAGAGAGAAAGAGAGAACGAAAGACAAAGAGAAAAAGAGGATAGAGAGAGAGGGAGAGTGAGAGTGAGAGTGAGAGAGATGGCTTTTAGGTTTGTTGGATGCAACCCAATGGCTCTGTCCACAGCTGGCACCCCATTGGCAGGTGGTTGTGCGATGTGCCAAATGTTCGAAAAGGGGACAGTGATGGTAGCGTGCTCGTCTGATTTGGGGAACATATTTAGGTGTGTGTTTTTGTTAGTTGATGGTCCCCTTTTTTGGGTGTTTTTAAATGGAACACATAAGGACAGCCATGGGGCCCTTCGACCGGGGTCTTTGTGAAGATGCTAAGGGCAGATTTCCCCCCGGAAGGTGACACAGGGTACTTCTACGCCAAAAGTTGTTGAAGCCGCCTTGCCAAACCAAGCCACAAAATTTCGCACGGGAATCAAATTGCCCCAGCCAGACTTCGCCATTGGAAGTTCAACGCCCCCAGAGGTATAGTCAAAACCCGTGTAGAAGGTTAGTAAAAAGCAGTCCCAGCCGGAAATAGTTGCGGATATCCGCCTTTCTAATTCTTTAAGTGGTTCTGGGTTCACCATTTTAGTACCAGGTTGTGATTGTGACTCAAACCGGGCTCCTTAAAAGATCTCCATGTTGCAGCCATTTGGAACATGGCTTCTTCAACACCAAAATGGAGGGAAACCACCATTGACAAGGCAATGTTCAGGTGTTTTTCCTGTAAGGATCCCTGGATTTTGACTCAAATGGCACCTAACTGATGGCAGCCTGCAGGAAGCCGCGCCCCTGACCCTCTAAGGTTCGACGGGTCCACGCCCATGAGACATTTGGATATGTGGCTGTGGGTCAAACGTAGGTACTGAAAATAGGTTGGTAAATGGAACCAAAGACCAAAACATGCGGTGTAAGGTACCCGGGTGGTTTTATTTTGACTCATACCCCATGTGTCGAACTCTTGGGGCCACACAAAATCACATCACACAAGACAACTGCAAAGACATTTTCAACGACACTCAAAAGGCATCTCAGCAAAACATTGATCCAACCCACCTTCCAAAGACATCCCCCCCAAAGACATGACCCAAGACATCAGCGAAGACACCCTTTCTTTCAGCGTTAAGAGGGTGCCCCCCCCCAAAAAAAAAACGAGAAGAAAAAAACGCGGCCCACACTCACACTCATCCACGTCTGGTTTCTCAAGTCTGGCCCTCCTTCCTGGTGTTTTTTTACTCAAAACCATCGAACACCCACCCCCCTCCACCCGCCGCCCCCCTCCCGCGCATAGGAGGGGCTGCCTCGGGCATGATCGTCCAGGAGCTGCCCTTTGGCTTTGCAGAGCGCATGGCGGCCACGTGTCTGGTGGGGCATATGCTCATCACCTACGCCTCTTGGCGTGAACCACTTAGTGCCTGCTCAACGGGGAATGAGAAATCTTTGCATTTGGCCAAGGGATGTTCGGACTTTAACTTTTTGCCAACTAAGGGGTTTTCCATCAAGCCACAAAAAGGTCAACTTGTAGCAGTGGAGCAGAAAGCAACCGAGGTGCGATAGGAGTCTTGCGCTCGGTTCGATAGGGATCAGCTTCCCTCTAATGGGTGGTTCTGATTTATGGTTTGGTGGTGGAGAGGTTTCCTATGTAAGGGGTTCAAATCCCAAACCAACATTACTTGGATGCATTTTCTTGCTAGTGCTCAACGGGGAATGAGATCTGGAATGACCCTTAGGCATCCAACTGGAGGCTTCCTTCAAGGGAATCCCCAGGTTCCTTCCCTCATTCCCTGAGCGCCAGCAAGGTTTGTTTCGGAGTAGCTCGGGCCCCAAAACGTCCAACACGCGAGCGTTTCGTTGCAGAAAGAAATGCCTTGGGGGGGATGTTCTTCAGCCTGACTTGGGCTGATGGGCGAGCAGCCCGCCAAAAGTGGGTCTGAATGAATTGGGCCGATGGTCGACATGTAGCCAAAGATACGTTCGGGCATGTGACGACTACGGGAATCTTGGTGCCACCCAACTGATCTGACATTCACGCGATTCAAAAGTGCATGCGTGTGACAGGTGGCAACCTAGTTACCCAGTTGCCCAGTGGTGCCCAGCAGTGCCCCATCCGACTCTTACTTTGTAATCGTGACACATTTGGCCATTCCGTGGCCCCTGCGGGGCATGAAGGTTTGCTTGGCACGTCTCTTCCCATAATTTCCAGTATGACTTGTTGCTTGTTTTCAGAGGGATGTCAACCTCTCCATTTTGGGGTTTGCTTGTTTTGAGTCACACCCTTGAACACCCGACGACCCCCCCTAGGTGATCAAGAGCGTGGTGCTTTGCAGAGGGCTTCTCAAGGAGCTGCAGGAGCGACAGGTGATTTCCAACGGAAACACCTGGTCTGCCTGGTATTGCATCGCGGCTCGGCGCAGGTAGGCTGACGACTGGGGGCCGTCTTGGGATGCACAAAAAGTCCTTGTCACACTTGCACCTCAGCTTTGTGGAGCTCCGGTTGCCCTTTTGGGTTTCCTTCGTCCCTCACCGGCGAAAATCGTGCAGTTCTTTGCAGGGGGCGATGCAGCCAAGAAGCCAGAGTCCTAGACAAGCACAGGACTCACCCGAAGTTGACACACCGCTTCACTTTCCAAGGCCCAGTTTTGGCTCAAAACCAAACAAGCGAGAGCTGAGGTCATACTCATCGTCTCCTCCTCCTGGTTGCTGGCGCAGATCCTCACCCAGCCAGCCAGTGGACACGCTTTACACTTTTTTTCCTTGGTGGCTCTCCCTTTATTTTTTGTCTGGCCCTTGTTTTGTGTACACTTCTTGGCTGGTCAAGTCACTCGCTGAGGATCGTGCCCTTCTTCTCGGACTTGGTGAACTTGCTGGGCGCCACGCTGACGCCACTGGTGGCCTTCATCGTCCCGATCCTGCTGTACCAGCTCAGCATCCGGATCAAGGACCCATCCGATGGCCGTGAGAGAATGGGTGAGGCGGTGAAGCGGACGCGGAAGCGTGCGGAATCGGGCGCGGAAACGGAGAAGAAAAAACAAAAACATAGAGACAAATATGTGTGTGTATTGGGAGAATCCCCGCTAGGAACCGGGGATTCGGCATGAAAATGATCAAAGATACACAAAGCACATTATATATATATATATGTATACTTATTTGTTCGCTCATGTACTCAGTATACATGAGCATAGCATTGCCAGTCTCTGTGTGTGTGGGCGCCGGCGCCTGGTGCCGTCCTGGCCTGTTCGATATTCGGAGATCCCCTTGATATGGATCAATAACCACTTTAGAATGCCAGCTCTTGATTTGGGAGGGGGTTGTTTGAAGGAATGCCCCTCCAATCAAGAAAGCTGACAAGTGTGACTGCGTGCCTTTTGCGCAAGCCCCCTGTGCACTTAGCTTGTGTTTCAAGGCGGTAAGACATGAAATTGATGCGTATGGTGACGAAGGGGGATGGGGCGTGAAGCTCCCACTAAGCTTGGAGCGGAAATGTTTGTCACTCGCAGGATGTGGAGGCAAGCACTGCTGAGCAGGCGCTGCTCTATCTGGAGCTGCTGATCTCTTTGGTGATGTTCGCCTACGGACGCTTGGCGACAAATTGAATGCTTGAAAGTCATTGGCAGCTCGTGGCGGGAGCAGGGGCCTTTGTTTCGTATGTACTTTCCTGTGTGTGTTTTTTGGCTTTTGTTTTAGGTTGACGTTTAGGACCTTCTGCGTTGTTTTTGATCTCAGCTGCCAGAAGATCAGCCCGCGGGTGGCGGGTTTTGTAGGTCTCCTTCCGCAAGAGAGACGTACAACAGCGTGTGAAAGAAACACGATATGCGCCAAAATCAAAACCCGGGTAAATGAAGGTTAGATGAAGGTTAGTCAAGGACAATCCCAACCATAAATAGCAGCGGCCGCCTTCCTAATTCTTCACATGGTTCTGGGTAGACAATTTTAGTACCGGGTTTTGACAATGACTCACTTGGTCAGCATGGTTTGATTGGGAACGGGACATCGCATACCCCTGTTTTCCAGCCAGCGACACATGCCTTCTGTAGCACAACAGGGACATGTATTCATGGGCATTTGGACGGGGCCCTCGCCTCAAGGCTGATCTTTCAGCGGTTTGGAAGGGGAATGCAACATGCTGATGGAGGGACCGGTCTGTGGACCTTTGGGGTAAATTGCCTTGGACTCGCATTCTCCTGGGAGGTTTCTTTCAAAAATGGTGCCCCTCAAAGCGGAACAGGCCTGTTGGAGGTGCAAAAGTCGGGAAATGTCGGGCATTGGGCTCCCGCCAAGGAAAGTGTTATCTGGGGTCCAATATTCCCATGCCAAAGCGGGCCTCTTTCTTTGACCTACCTGGAGTCTCCTTCTGACCTTTAAAAAATGGAGTCATTACCCAAAATAATGGTTGGTCAATGACCCATTTTTAAAGGGTCATGGAGACTCTAGGTACTGGGTTTTTGAAGGCTTCGGTCACATTCCGGAAATGCATGATGCCCAGGTTGCAGCTAAACACTAACCTCACTGGAATTGTCTTGGCCGATCGAATTGTGTTTTATGTGGCTTAACTCGCCCGCGGTGGCAAAACCCTTGGACACTTCAACTCGCAAGCTCAACTGGCTTGAGCTTCCAACTGCAGCAAGCTCAGGCTCTGTATCCACCTTCCTTCATATCTATGCGCAGTGGGAGCACTATGGTTACCCCTTCTCCTGCCACTGCCAGTTCCTTTGGCACCACGGCTCGCAGAAGGTCTCCATGTGTGTGAGTGCAGGCATGTCGGCATGATTCCTAGGTCCCCCAGCTACGTGCCCTTTTACCGTTTCTTTTTTGGTTGGGAGGGTTCCCTACTAAAATTGGACAAAACCAAAAAAGGTGTTGGTACCCTTATTCTAACCTCTCTGGAGGACCTGTTCATCATTCTTGGTGGCGAGGAGGTCTGTAGAGATCTCCCCTCGCCACCAAAGCGACAAGCTTTCCAAGTCTTATCATGGTTGTTGTTGGGAAACATTTTGCATTTTTGCTTATTGTGGTTTAGTGGTTGGGATCCAACCACTCAACTGCTAAAATTTGAGAATTGTTGCTCCCCTGCCAACGTCGACCAAGCATATGGAGCATTTCTTCCTGAAGACCCCAAGCTTTCAAGCCAAGGCTGTAGGCAGCCGGGCGTTACATGTGCTGCCTCACACAAAAGGTGAGCAAAGGACTTAACCCTAGTCTCACTCCTGGAGTTCCTGGAGTTTTTCAGCTTTTTGGGAAGACCATTTTAGTGGCAACAAATAAGTTTGGGCTTTTGGGGGCCATCCACTCAGGAAGTGGGTATTCATTTGCTGCCAGTCTAGGGCTCCCCGGAGTGTCCAAAGCAAACTTTCCCCCTGTGAGCCCTGAGATGGTTTTCACCGGGCTGGGCTTTTGCGCCAGAGCTTCAAACTCAAAGACTTGCAGCGATGAACCTCATCCTTTCTGCTGAGAGCTCTGTTGCAAGCATAAGCTATGCTCCAAAAGCGAATATCATTTTTTTTCCGCGACGTATCACGGATCCCTGGTTTTTGTTGTGCTTCGGATGCGAAAGCTGAGAGGTTGGGAAGGTTGCGCCGGTCCCGCACCGCTCTCGAGGAAAACCTGTGGGTGCTCGTCAGGAAGGATGGAGTGCCCTGCGATCTAAGGCGCCTTGGCATTGGACAGGTGCCCCAGCCTAGGTGCCCTTTTCATGGTTGTTGATGGAAAACGTTTTAAACATTTTGGCTTATTGTGATTTAGTGGTTGGAATCCAACCACTTGACTGCTAAAATTTGAGAATTGTTGCTCCCCTGCCAACGTCGACCAAGCATATGGAGCATTTCTTCCTGAAGACCCCAGCTTTCAAGCCAAGGCTGTAGGCAGCCGGGCGTTACATGTGCTGCCTCACACAAAAGGTGAGCAAAGGACTTAACCCTAGTCTCACTCCTGGAGTTCCTGGAGTTTTTCAGCTTTTTGGGAAGACCATTTTAGTGGCAACAAATAAGTTTGGGCTTTTTGGGGGCCATCCACTCAGGAAGTGGGTATTCATTTGCTGCCAGTCTAGGGCTCCCCGGAGTGTCCAAAGCAAACTTTCCCCCTGTGAGCCCTGAGATGGTTTTCACCGGGCTGGGCTTTTGCGCCAGAGCTTCAAACTCAAAGACTTGCAGCGATGAACCTCATCCTTTCTGCTGAGAGCTCTGTTGCAAGCATAAGCTATGCTCCAAAAGCGAATATCATTTTTTTCCGCGACGTATCACGGATCCCTGGTTTTTGTTGTGCTTCGGATGCGAAAGCTGAGAGGTTGGGAAGGTTGCGCCGGTCCCGCACCGCTCTCGAGGAAAACCTGTGGGTGCTCGTCAGGAAGGATGGAGTGCCCTGCGATCTAAGGCGCCTTGGCATTGGACAGGTGCCCCAGCCTAGGTGCCCTTTTCATGGTTGTTGATGGAAAACGTTTTAAACATTTTGGCTTATTGTGATTTAGTGGTTGGAATCCAACCACTTGACTGCTAAAATTTGAAAGAGTGCTTGCTCCCCAAACCCAACATCAACCAAGTTTTGGACCCCTTTTTTGGTTGGGAGGGTTCCTTAGTAAAATAGACTAGAGAAAATCCGTTTACGCTTTTTTTGGTTGGGAGGCTTCCCCTACTAAAATAGACTGCAGAAAAAAGTTGGCACCCTTATTCTAGGACCCATTCAGCACAACGAGAAAATGGACTACAGGAAAAAAGCATCGGGTACCCGTATTCTAACCTCTCTACTGGAGGACCTAGGGCCCATTCAGCAACTCGGGAGAACCTGCACATGTCAAAAACTCGACAGCATCTCGTTCGCAATGTTCATCAAGCAGTATACGTGTTGACAGCTGGTGTTTTTTGTTTGTTTCTTTTTTCTTTTCTTCGACCCTTTGAGAGGGCACCCTTCTTCCAGCAAGCAGGGTTGTCCAGATGCCATTCCTGTGGGTGACAATGGTTTTTTTGCAATCTGGCTGCCCTGGACGGGGCAGAACACCGGATTCTTCTTCTTGCGGGTGCCTTGCGCCCCAGTTTCGGGTCAAATTGGATCCACCATTTTGAGCCCAACGGAAGTCTCGGCCACTTTCGCGGCATCCAAGGCTTCTATGCCTGCTGTAGCCGCTGCGAATAGGCGATTCAATGCAAATGTCACCGAAGATTGGAGAGTCAAATCCAGCTCTGTACGGGTAGTGCATTGAAAGGACAGTGACAGACTCCTTGTAGCATGACAACTGGCAGTGAAACACACGTTGCTCAACGACATCATCTAGTTCAACATTCATGTTCGAAGTTATGGCTTTCCAACACCAATCGGAATATACAGGTCAGGCTGCACGTGCAAGAATGCAAGCGTAACCAATCGATCTACGCCAAGTAAACCAAGAGACACATGTTGTACAGGTAGAAGTGCATCGAAAGGACAGACTTCGAAATAGTTACTTGTAGCATGACAAGTGGCAGTGAACCACACGTTGCTCAACGACATACATGGACTCAGCTTAGCGCCTCACATGCGCGCTCTCGGATGTGGAAGAAAAAAGGGCGCCGGCGCTTTGGCCACGTGAAGCCTGGTGTTTGGTCTCAGGGCTTACGGACGTGCCCTTATTGCTTTGTTGTTTGGGTAGGTGCATGTGCATTCGTGTACGCATGGATGCTTTTGAGCACATGTTGAATCCATGACCTGTGTATTTATACATGTGGGTATATATATACACATACATACATGCATACATATATATATATGTATATGTATATGTCTATCTTGCCACTGCACGTTTTTGCATGCCGATAATTTGGACCCATGTGGTATAATGATCCCTTTGAGCCGTTAGCCTTGAGTCGAGGCGGTGGTAACCTTTGGGTGCAACCTTGGCCCATGCTGAAGCCATAGCTGCTAATCCGGAACATACCACACCTGAGTTCGATTCGAATTGTGTTCGTGAAGAGGTTACTACACTTCAGTGACGCGTATTTCAAACAGGGCTCCATTGATGTGTGAAGCTTTGGAACCTCATATCCCATTTGCCCAAGCCTTGTATGGTGCGTACTAGACGGGGGTGAAGCCGAATTGAGATTGCGCGCTCCGTTGCGGATGGTTATCCAGCGGCTTGTTGAGACTCTAAGCGAGCCTCTGCCGATGGAGCCGGGCCGACACCCCTAAATCCGGTTGTTTTGACTGTTTCTGGTGATTATCAAAGTCAGCAAATGGAGTTGATTCCCTCAACCTACCACTTAGGGGCTGACTTTGATCATGGTAAGATAATGGGGCCAGATGCATGCCGCACGGAGAGATGTCGATGCATTTCTGTCCAGCAGGGAGCTGGCCAACTGCAGAATGCTGTCGATTGCTGACATGGCGAGAAGACTCACTGGCTGTTCGGTTCACCTAGTATGTCAACTTACTTGGTTGTGTTTGCCAATTGGGGAACCCACTAAATAGATATGTGTTTTCCCTTTTGGTTTCCCTTTATCCACGCCCGCAAAAGGGTACCCTGAAAAGAAACACCCGCTGTGTTATGGTATGTTCGCGCTTCCAGGTTGCTTTTCTGAGTTGCCCAAAGAGAATCGACCATTAGACCTTGCGGTTTTTCAGTTTTGGCCCTTTTTAACGTGGCCCCAACAGCTGATTGTTGTTTTGGGTCTTTTTATGTTCACCGTGGGCGCTCCCAGCGATGTGATGTTATGCTGCCACTCTTGCTAAAGCACTGCAACAACCAGGGTTTAGTGCCATGTGCACCCGCTAGCGCCTATAGGCAAAATGCACATTTTCCTGTCGCATCTGACACTACGCATCTCTCTACGGGTAGCTTCCCCATTCTTTCAGGGATCCTTCTTTCTAGAAAACAACCAAACCCTGGGAAAACTGCTGGTTTTTGAAGAGAACGATGGCTGAAAAGAATGGACAAGGACTCACCCCCTAGAATCTCCCCACCAATCCCCGCTCTCTTTTTTTGGGGTCCCGGGTCCCGTCCGGGGGGCGAGGGCCGCAGGGCCGCTTGCCAGACGAGGCACTGCTCTCCCAGTGCCCGGTGGAACTGAAAGACTTGGTGAACCCACAGGCCATTCGGAGTCACCAACCAAAGTTGGGGCTTCCCATTGTGGGCTGGGGGTGGCCTTACGGGGTGCCGGGGGGGTTGCGGCGGGGGGGGGGGGTGGGGTGGGTTCCACTTTGGGCTGGGGGCGGCTTTGCCTCTTTTTGTTTTGTGGGGGTGGGGGTTGGGGGGGCGGGGGGGTGGTGGCCAGTTTGCTCCTCTGTCTTCGAAGCTTCTCACTTTCCCAAAGCTAAAGCTCACCCTTCTCGCCTTTTGGTTTCCAGTCGTCCAAGTTCATTCCCTGAGTTGGACTTGAGTTCTCGAACCTTGACCCGGCGAACCTGACCCGAATCAAACACTAATAGGGCAGGACCAAACTTTTGGGTAACGACCCCTTGAGGGCCAGAAGCTCACCTCAGTTCCGGGACTCGCTTATTTTTGGGGTTGGACCCTTGGAGTTGTACACCAAAACCATGAACAAGGTTTTATTCCTTGGTCCTCGCAGAGAAACCATCCACTTGGACAAAAACGCTGCCCAACATGTGGGTGGTCCCTCCTTGTGAACTGGACCTTGCACAAGTTCACACGGGGTGCTTGCTTGCTTTGATCTTGGAACCTAGTGGCTTAAGAACCTGTCTTATTTCCATGTTGGTTTTGAAGGGACAGGGCTCCTCAAGAGATATATCTTGCCCATTTAAATCATTGCATTTTCCGGCAAAATGCAGGGACACCACCATTTGCAAGGCAATGTTCAGGTGTATAATGTAAGGATCCCTGTATCACTATGCTGGACGTTTGTTCCAGGGCACGTCTCCGCAAATGGAGAGAGAGGCACCTGGCTGTTGTTCGGTTGCTTCGGAGGATTCTGCGACAAAGCGAAGAGGGATGGGTTGAGGGGCTCTTCGGGGGCCTGAAGTCACCATTGGCTGGGTCGGGCTCAGGGAAGTTCAGGGTGATGGTTGGCTTAAGGTTGAAGAGTGGGCGTCAGTTCGTTGTTCAGACCGCTTTCTTTTGATTTCCCGGACTGCTTCTAAACCACAAATGGGAAGGACGCCTCACATCCTGATTTTTGTCTCGGACTTTAGTCACTTTTTGGGTTTGGACCAAATAACAAGTCTAAACTGTTTTTTGGCCAATCCACTTGATCGGAAGTGAGTTTACCTGAACACTCAAAAGTCCCGCGCAAATGGACAGTCTGGCTACTTTTGTGTGCCAATCCACTCAGAAGAGAAGTGGGAGCTGTGTCAAAATCGGGAACTCCTTTTGGTTCCCCTTTAAACCAACCCCAAAAAGGGTACCCTCCGGCCGACTAACATGGAAGTGCACAAACCTCTGTAGAAAGACTGCTTTCTTCTTTGAAGGGGCTTCGTGCGCACAAACCCATGTTAGTTGGTGGCAGGGTACCCTCAAAAAAACACTTTAACGAACCCTCCAATTGTGAACCATGGAAGACCAGGTCCCCCAGTAGTGCCCTTTCTCACCCCCCCTTTTTTGGGGGAGGGTTCTACTCAAATAGGCAAAACGGAGAAAAAACATCGGGTACCCTTATTCTAACTTCTCTACTGGAGGACCTAACTTAAAGGGGATTCTCATGGTGACCTTCTGGTTTCCCTTGCCCCGAAACACATGATGGAGAACTCCAACACTGGATTATGATGGAGAACTCCAACTCTACTGGAGGACCTAGAGGTGAGAAGTTCAGCGCTTTCGCGAAACCGCCAGGCCAGCTGCGCGGAAGATTTCTGGAGCTTCGCCCTCACGGAGTCGGCGCGCCATGGCCAAGAAGAGAGATGGGACCCGTTCAAATGTGAGAGGCTTCGGTGCGTCGGTGAGTCCCCAATCATGGGGGCTGGGAGGGAGGGAGGTGGGGGGGAGAGGGAGCCCAAAAGCCCCAAATAAGCCCAAAAGATAGAGAGAGAGAGAGAAAACACATCAAATGGCAATGGCTCAAAACCAATGGGATCCATCCCATTTTGGGATAGGTGATATCACCACCCATTTTAGGACCTATTTTACTGGGGATTGGGATGTTGACTGGGGGTACGGGGTTTTGACCCATGGCCAAATGTGTCCATGTTTTAAAAGATGTGGTTCCCTATTAAACGTGTGTTTTGGCAGTTGTGTTTTGGGGTGCATGTTAGTTTCTCGTTGTGTTCCATGTCGGCATAAGACATATGATTGTTGTTTTATTGTTGTTCTATGTTAGTTCTTGCAGGTGGGTAGGGGGCCGAGGGTAGAGCGATTGGTGTCCCTTTTAGGTCGGTTTGGTTAAACATTGATGGATTACGTGGGTGTCAGCTTGGTTCGCACGAGTTGGGGATGTACCTCTAGAGAGTATTCTGGCCACATCTAGCCTTATTTCGCCAATAAAGTCCCCAGAAAGAGGCTACGCTTGGGGTACGTGCTTTGAAGACGTTATATGACCTTGAAAACTTTGCCCGCGAGCTGCGCACCTTGAACCGTGGCTCATATATTTAGCACCCATGCGGCTCCCCATAAGTGTTGCGTGGCCTCACTGGAGTGACTCACTGTGTTTGGCTTACGCGACGGCAGCCTGGCATTTTTGTTTGATATCAGTCGCTATCAGCCAAGAAACCCACTGCTGCTTTGCGCCCAACAGTGGTCCAGGTCCTTCCCTTTGCCTGAGAATATGTGCTCTTTACACCTGTGGTTTTTAAGGACATCTATGGCATTGAAATTTGTTCAGTGTTTTTTTTTTCTGCGGGACTTAAGCGAATGGAAGGATTGTTGCTCGAAACTTGTTCCGCCTTGCGTCCGTTTCAAGCCTGGTTTAGCCCGGCTTTGCCCACATGCTATGTCATGTGCGAAGCACCTCATTGAGCAGCCCCCCCAGTCCCTTTTTGCAGAGCAAGGGAAATGAACATGATATGAATATCCCGTGCGCAGAACTCATGTTGGAGCTATCGTGCAATTTTGCGCACAGGCATGCTTCGACAAGCTTACATTGTCAGCCTAGTCATTTTTTCACTTCTGTTGTGGTATGGTTTCTTTTCATGCGGCTGCTCAATCGAAGTGAGTGCCAAACAGGTTGGCCGCCTCTCCCCATTGCGTGAACACATTTGTTTTTGGTTGATCACAAGTGATGAACCATGAAGAGCCTGTTAGAAAAGCATGCGACCTTCTAAAACATGTCACGCTCTCTGAGTTCCCCGACTTCAAGCTTTTTGGGAAGACCAAAGCGGTGGTAAATCTACAGTTTGGTTACTTTTTTTGGCCAACCCACTCGATCGGAAGTCAGATGTGTTTCGTCTTTATTGAGCATATGGCCAGTCGCTTCCGCGTGTCAAGCTGGTTTCAGAAGCGCGTTTGAGAGTGCCCCGCAGCCATGCGCGCCATGCACAGCCTGCTGCGCCTGCGCCTGCGGCTGTATTGGCGCCCGCGCGGAGCCTGGGCTGAACATGGGTGGACGTTAGAGCAACGGCTTTTCCAGGGATGGGTTTTGGAGGTATGGAGGTAAAACACCACTTAATGATATAGTTTTTCGGGGTAGGTACTGATCTACAAGCTCGTCATGGTGATATATTTGCGCATCCATGCCTCAGCCCGTTCCAGCTTTCACAGGCAACCTTGTTGCTTGACTTCTATTGGGTTGTTGGTTGAAATAATGGGTTTTCGGAGTTCTGAAGTGATCCACTTTTTTGACAGAGGGGGGGTCACCAGCAACCAAGGTTGCGGCTTCGTATTGTGCATTGGGAGGGTCCCTTCGGGTTGCAGACAAAAACAATCGGCTGAGACTTGACAAGTTGATGCGTGCAGAGGCCAGCTTCGAATCTCGGGGAGTTTCTGCATTAACATTGACCCCGGAGGTTTATAGCGGGGAATCATGATCACTTTTGTAGGGAAACACCTTGGAGGGAAACAACGGCATATAAATATGGAACGGTTTGTTAATGCGGGGTCAACATCATTCTCATTTCTCAGGTTGCCTGAATTGATTTGGATTGGTTTGGGGAGAGACCCGTTCAGTTCCCCAACCAATAATCCACCAATCGATTTACTACTTAGTGGTTACTGTGAATTGAAGTGTTAGTTCCCGTGGAACGCGGTTCCCACTCTTGAACGGAGCTCGGAACTTCGACTTGTAGTCGCCTTGTGGGTTTGGCGTACTTTCTAGTGCTTGAAGGTGTTGCTATGCATGAACCCCGGAAGCACCTTGCAGAAGTGTGAAATTAATTCAATCCCTTTTTCTCAGGAAGCCCTTGAACGTGTACACGGTTTTCAACATTCCCCCCGCTTTGAGTGCACCTCAAAAAGCGCATAGGGAATCATTCTGGAGCCACACGGCTGCTATTTTGCTTTGGACCCGTAAGCCCAGATGTGTCGCAACCAGCAAAACTGCTGAGCCTTTTGCTCAGTATTTGTGGATTCTGTTCTTCCAACGCCGGACGAATAAGCATAGGGGGTTCTCATTGTCAGGGGTCACATGTACCCCTCGTGATCCTAGCAGTCTCAGCCCGTCCTTTTTGTTTCCCTCGGGGTCCACCGCTCAGAAGTTACTTTTCGTGGCGTCGGCGCTCCAAAGCAACAGTTGGGAGGTGATTGAAAGGACCATGAAAGAAAGGGATGAATGCAGGCAAAATTCCCAGAGCCAACTATTGAGAAGACATGAGATGAAAGGGACATCAGAGAGTCTAGGTGTTAATTCTTTGTCCACACGAACCTGGAGTCTCCTTCTGACCCTTAGAAAACGGTTGGTTGCCCAAAAGAATGGTTGGTCATTGACCCATTTTTGATTCGGGTCATGAAAACTCCAGGAAGCCTCCCTTAGTTCAGGCCACTTGGTGCCGCAGGTTTCTTGGGGCCTGGCACCAGTGAGTCCCAGGAATCTTCTCACGAGAGTTCTGGGTGCCTCACAGCCATACGAGTCCTTTGGTTTGTTAATTTGTGGTCTTTAGGCTTTTGGTTGCTTTTTCCATGGTTTTGAGGAGTTCGGTTGGTTCGTGGTTGGGTGTCCATGTATTCCACGAGTGAAGTATTCATTTTGGACCGAGGCTTGGCCACTCGCCCGCACTTCCCCAGCTTCAAAGCGGACCTGCCCCCGGAGGTGGCTGCGCCCGGCTTCGGCCACTCGGGCCTTCCAACTTCGGAGGCGCCGCAGTGCGCCGCAGTGCGCTGTCGGGGTCGGAAATTGCTCGGAACTCAGCTCCGGTTGCGGAGAAGCCAGACGTTTGGCGGGTGCTGGGAAGGAAGCCGGAAAAAAAAAAAAAAGATCCGGAGCTGGGATCCAAAATTGCTTAAGAGGGAGCTATGGAGCTGCCAGGATTTGTTGCAGATTCAGTTGCTGTTTCTGTTGGTTTTTTTCTAGGCCTTCGGGAGATGAATTGCACTTGGCTAGTCCATTGCCTTTGAGGGGAAAACTGAGCCGCTCAGTTTTGAAACCAAACCGTCAGTTTTGAAACCAAACCGGGACCCAGGTGATTGTCATGACGAGAAGGCATGATGCTGCATGATGGCGCGAGCTCCTTGATGATCATGCCACAAGTCTAAGGCAGTCTAAGGGTTGATTCCCCATTCTTTCCAATCATCGTTCGTTTGGATAACCGGCATTTTCCCTGGGTGAAGGATCCCTGGAAAAGAATGGGGAAGGTAGCACCAGAACAAGGCAGCCCTTAAGGTCCCTATTGAGTTAGCTTGAGCTCAAAACATCCGGACAAACGGTGCGCCACCCTCGGATCCGGGACAGAGAGGTTGCGGGGGATGTCAAGTAGGGGCTGCACTTATGGAGGGGAAATTTCGGGCTTGTAGGCAAGAGTCCAAGCCTTGCCCTGTGAATCCTTTCTTGTGTAATGTCGGCCAAGTTAGTAAGTGGTTAGCCATTTGGGATATGACCCACCAATAACAAAGTTAAACTCGCTCAGAGAAACTCATAAGTGGGCTTTAAACTAGCCTACTCGTACCAACACAAGTACCTGATTTTGCTTGTGAAGGGAGCGCCGATTGAGAATTGATCTTGATGCAGTCGAGATCGCGGTGTAGATTGTGGAATCCTGAAGGGTGGTAGGTACAAGGGGATCGGCAACAGGGAGCTCTAGGCTTCCTTAGTTGTTTTTCTTTTAAAGCTTCCTTCGAGTTTTTTTAGGTAGTTGAGACTTCCTTAGGGTTTGTTAGGTTTTTGTTGAGGTTCCTTAGAGAGCCTGAGAAAACCCTCCCACCCCCCGCCCTTGGACCACCCCCCCCCCCTCTCCCTCCCTACAAACTTCTTACGCAGGTTGTTTGGTGGGTTCTTTGGCGCTTGAACAAGAAGAAGGCCGCATGAAATCCGGCGTGCCCCAAAGATGAGCTGGAGCCATGGTCGGGTGATTTCATGTTCGAGTGAGGTGATCTCTGAGACATGAAGCCTCCACTTCGCTGGCTGTGTTTTGTTGGGGGGTCGTCATCCAAGTCATGGCACCATGTGCACAAAGTGATCTAGATGGCACTCCAAGACTCCAAGAAGAGATCAACTTCCGCTGGGTGTTGTTTTTCGGGTCTTTTTTGTCATCCAAGTCATGGCTTGTCACTCCAAGAAGGGATTATCTCAGCGTCCGCCTGTCGCCAGCCATCGGAGGAGTTTGGGGAGATACTGTTCGAGGATCTGCCGGAGGAGTTTGCCAAAGAAGCCTTCGAGGCAGAGGAGCCGGTTGTGAGGCAGGCTGCCGGCTCTGCACACGTGGGAGGTGCTCGGATTCAGCATGCATCTGGGTGAAACACGGGCTTTGACGCTCTGGCGCACGTTGGATGCTATTTGGGCAGATCCTTACCTTGGGCTGGGCAAGGTCCCTTCCTGGTGGCATTCCTGTAGAGATTCTGGATTGGGATTGGCCAACTCTCCAACTTTGACCAGCCCAGACTATGCAGATGCCTAGCCTCATGCTGTCTATGAAATGTCATGCATGCCCACATGCGTGCAACCAATTGTGTGACAGGGGAGGCTGCATGCCCTTGGTCATCCGTTTGCGTTCCACATGTAAATTTGGAATTGAACAAAACGCAGGACCTTTCTTCGGGGGATCTTTATTATGATGAAGTTGTTGTCGACCTTTTGACTCTTTTAGATTCCTCATGTTGGCAACCATGTTGGGGTCTTGGCTCCAAAAGGTGATCACCTTTTTATGATTTCTGACAGCTGAGTACTGTTGCAAGAGAATCTTCCATGGGCTGAAACGAATATATTGTTTACTTCCCCTGCTATGTTTAAAGGGAATTGATGTCACTAAGTACTGGGAATACTTTCCCATGTTTCCAGGGGGCTGAAGCAAGTCGAAGATGAAAAGCGCCTTCAAGCTGTTTTTGTGAGTGTGTGTTTTTTTTCCGCATGGGGCTTGAGTTAACTGGACGGAATGCAGGCCTCTGCCCCGGGAAGCGCCGCTGAGCGACGAGGAGCTGCGCGAGGCCAATGTGCTGACCCTGTCCAGGGAGGAGCCACTCGTCAACTATAATGAGCACCCCAGATTAATAAACCTCTGGTTGATTGCTAGGGGGTGCCCCTGTTTTAGTTGAGAGTCATCACTATTGGAGGTGAGCACCGCCCCTATTAATGAACCGGTTCAAAAATCCGGAGTCAACATTACCCCTCTGCCCCAAAGAGCTCCCCAAAGAGCTTGGCTGGGCGTCTGTGCACTTCCCGAGTTCCGGGACTTAGACTTTAGCGTCACTTTGTGGGTTTGGATCATTTTGGTGGCCAAGAACAGCGCTTGCTGGTCGCAGCTTGTGTCTCGTGTCTTGCCGCTTGTTCCCCCACTTTTCTCCCCGCTTGTCTCCTCACTTGCCCTGCTTGTGATTCTTGACTCGGGTTTTATTGCGGCTTGTCTCCTACGACTCCTACTTGTCTCCCCCACTCCATTTATCTCCCCAGTGTCTTCCCACTTACCCTGCTTGCCCCGGACCTTGTAACGGCTTTTCTCCGACTTGTCTCGTTGCTTGTGCTTGCTCACTCAGGCCTTGTCACAGCTTGCCTCCTTGTCCCCCCGCTTGCCCCGCATATAGTCTCCCGCTTTTTCCCCCACTTGTCTTCCCTCGAGGATGACAGCGGATGGACCCAGATCAAAGGGTTGAGGCTACCCGGTTTGCCTTTTCAGTCTCTTGCGTGACTTTTTGCAGTTCTTCGCTCAGTTGTATCCACAAACGTTTGTGGGCAACAGGCCAACGCTGGCGCAAACTCAGGTCTGTCTTTCAATTGTGGCGAACCTCCAGAGGGAGGTTTCCCTGAGATTGCCTTTGCGATTCAAAAATGAGTAATGTTGACCCCGGATTTATAAACCATTTTTATTAATATGGGGGGTGTTCCCCTCCAAAGGTGACAAATCCGACAAATCCCCACTAAAACCGGGGACGCGCCCATATTAAATAAACAGGGGTTTATGATAACCAGAGTCAACATGATCCCTCGAAGAAGCGGCCATCGGACAGGCCGTCGCGGCTTCCGAGGTTTGTTTGGGCCGTCGGCCGCGCTGCCACCATTGGCCTGCCCGCCACTGCCCGGCTTTGGCGCGACCTGCCGCACGCGATCCACGCCTTTGGGGCCAAGGAGATGGCTTTTTTTTGGGGGGGGGCCGCGGCTGGGCGCCAAGGGCGCCTTTGGAGATGCAAATCTAAAGCCATAGGTGTTTTTTTTGGTGGTTTTGGTGGCAAAGCAGATGGCGATTCCTGGTTTAACTGGTGGTTTAATCATCTACCAGGGCCATCTATTTCCCCTAAAAGGACGCCCATGTCTAAAGCTGTTTTGGAGAATCTGCGTGGCAACTGCGTTTCTTTGTATAGGTCAACCCGTCGATTTGTAAGGCCCGCAAGGCGTTCCGGCTAGGTCTGCGTGCCGAGGAGCTGAGCGAGTCGGAGCTGTGCCGACTCCTGCAGGCGCTGGCCTATGCCCCGCACCTCGGCTCGCAGTCGAGGAAAACGCGCGTCCCAAAGCCCGACCCTTGGATTCGGGTGGACAAGCCGAGGGACTCTAAGGGTCCCAACAACGGGAAAGCCTCGGAAAACGGATCCGGTTTTTGAAAAGAAGGATGGTTGAAAAGAATGGTTGGAATGAACCCCTAGAGAGATCACAAGTTTCCCGAAAGCAGAGAGCGCGACGTTTGCGCCCAATGCGAGTAAATTGCTCCGGGGGCCAATGCGATTTGTTTCATTCGTGCTTGGTTTCTTGGGCATATCTTGTACATGGTTGTCTCATTTTTGTTGAAACCCCCCTTTACCGGACCCCCCCCGGACCCCCCCAGACCCTCCCCCCCCCCTCCCCCCCACTGCCGCAAAACGCTTCCCGAGTCCCAGGCGCGACGTGGCGCTCGACAAGCCGCTGCTCCGAAGACTCTTCAAGGTCTTCGCGCTCCGCGCCAAGGACGCAGCGATCGGATCGACGGCCGGGTGTCCCTTTGTAGGTAGGGGACCTCCCCATGTTTGGGTGGGTTTTTTTCCTGGCTTCCACCTGAAAGTGAAAACATTCATGAATTTGGGTCGGTTTTCCTGTTGGCTTGCCCTCTAAAAACGGGAGAACGCTGATTTATGGGTTGGTTTTCCTATTGGTTGCCGCTTTAAAGACCCAACAACACCCATTTTGGGCGGTTTGCCTCTCGGTGTCCCTTTCCAAAAACAAGGGTACCCTGAAGAAATGACGCACCCACCTGTGAAACTCTGTTGAGTTTCCCTGGCCCAAAGCGAATCCACCGGCAATTGGTTGCCAGCTGAAGGCTGTAATCCTTTGGTCAACCGAGGTTCCACATGTGGTGGCTGGGTCCTTTGTTTGAGGGCATCCTTTTCGGGGTTTTGCCCCTAGGCAAACCAAACAATTGCCTCAGCATGTCGTTGCCCATGGTCGAGGTTCCGCCTGAGAAATTTCCAGGTCCCTTGGGCAAGTTGCAACACAGGAAAAAACCCGAAGAAGCACCCGAAGAGCCCCGCCCTTTTTTGCTCCTGACGCTTTCCTCGAGGTTTCTTCTAGGGCCATTATTTTGACTGTTTCTGGGGGTTATCAAAGTCAGAGACGGGAATTGTTTCCCTTTAAGCTACCACTTCGCAGCTGACTTTGATCATGGTAAAATCATGGGGCCAGTATTTTGAGAGGCTTTCTCGGATGAGCAGCTCATGCGAGTGCTCTACGCCTACGGCAAGCTGGCCGACAAGCGCGGCATTCAGATCCCGGCGCCTCGGCACATGCGATCGACGAGTCCTTAGCTTTTTAGCCTTCCTGGAGCCTGCTTCTGACCCTTAAACAATGGGGTCATTGCCCAAAATATTGGTTGGTCAATGACCCATTTTTGATTCGGGTCATGGAGACTCTAGGTTTATTCCAACTCGGTGGTTCCCAGCCATCCGGCCCCTTGAGCCACAATCTAAACCCGGGTAGATGAAGGTTACTAGCAGTCCCAGCCAGAAGTAGTTGCGGATGCCTTCAGAATGCTTTACATGGTTCTGGGTAGACCATTTTAATACCGGGTTTTGATTGTGACTCCCTTCGCTTTTTAGCCTGAAATATTTTTGGCTTTTTAGTGGGTGGATTTCCATTTAACCGAAGAGTTAAACTGTTAGCCGGGGATCTGAGGGCAGCCCACAAAAGGGGTCCGGTTGTTTTTCTCCATTCGGCTGGGCAGCTGGGGCCTAAGTTGACCTTTCAACAGTTCGGGGCCAGGTCGGCATTGTTCCTTGTCTGGCGGTTTGCCTTGAGCAACCGCTGTTTGTTTTTCTTGGGTTCTGAGCAAATTATCGCGAGCTCACTTTGGGGTAGAAGGAGCGAGCTTACCCATGACGGTTCCTGTTTTTCCTTGGTGCGTTTGGTTTGCTTGTGACCTCTGCCGTATACCGCTGGGTTTGGTCCATTTGACGACGCTGCGAGTCTTCCCCACACTTCAGTGTAGAGCCTTTCAAGTGTTGGGGGATGTCCCCGAATTTTCGGGGTGCAATTTTCATTTGTTTGCCCAGATGTTCCATTCGAAGGAGTTCATGGACTTTGCGACGAGCGAGGTGGTTGAGCGCGATGCCTCCTTGAAGCCGCCCGTTTGCACAAATGATGCTTTTGTTGATGACGTCCCTTGAAAAAAACACTTGCAAGTAAACAAGTAAACACATCCACAGGCAGACACATCAGCCAACACGTCAAAAAAGAGAATCGCATCAAAGAAAGCCAGAGACAAACTGGGCGCAATCCCATTGCACCTCCTTTCCTCGGTCGCGCTTGGTTCTCCCACTTCGGGCTCGGACGATGCCAAGGCCTTGGCGCAAGGTGCGGATCTTGGAGTCGGTGGGGGCGCTGCCAGAGGCCGGCGCGGAGTTCAAGTCCCTGCCGCTCGCAGAAAAACTTCCTGGAGGTTTGCGGTTGGTTTGGTGGCTCCCTTGAGCTTTTTAGCCATGTTTAGCATTTTTTGGCTTTTTGGTTGGTTTGATGGGGTGTCCATTTACGCTAGTGAAACTATTCGGAGGGGATCTGAGGACAGCCGTCGATTTGGTTTCACTCATGGTGGGCCATAGATGTCCTTTTGATTGGTTCGCTTGGTTGGAAATAGGTGGGTTCCACTGGTTTAGACGAGTTTTATTTGCCAGGGTCATCAATTTGTCCAACAGGTAACCTACGTTGTGGACACGGTGTGTTTGTGTTTGAACTATTTGGTAAAAAGGTTTGCTTACTTTTGTGGCCAATCAGGAATTGGGTTGGGCATTTTGGGGCTTCGCAAGGAAATTTTTGAGGGCTGCGTTTAAAAGACTTGGCAAATGTGGACCACTTCAGATGGACCAAGGTTCGGTATGCCCCCTTCTGTGAGGCTTGGCTCTTTGAGGCAATGCCTCACATAACTTCTCATCCATACACAATGAAAACCCGGGGAGATGTTGGTTGGGGAGTACCTCCCAACCAGAGCAGGCCTGCCTTCGCTTATAAAACATCCAACTGGTGGTTTCCTTTCAGCGGACCAAAGGTGTTCATTCCAACCCTATCCCTATCGCACCAGCTCTCTAGGGGTTGATTCCCCATTATGTTCAACCATCGTTCTTTTCACAAACCGGCTGTTTCCCTGGGTTTTGGTGGTTTCCTGGAAAGATTCGGATCCCTGAAGCTCGGGCTTTTTGATCCGTCCCAGGATCGTGGCTCTCAGTTGGCCTGGCTGAAACCCTGGGATCAATCCACCTTTTTCCGACTCCACTCGATCGGAAGTGGGTGGGTGTGCCCTTTTACAATTTTTTTGGGGAGGGTTCCCCTACTAAAATAGACTACAGAAAAAAGTTGGTACCCTCATTCCAACCTCTCTACTGGAGAACCCAGTTGCGTCCGAGGATCGTGGGCCAGATCCTGAAAGCCGGGGCCCAATCCTTGGACGCGGAGCGCTTCGCTGAGTTCGTGCCCATGGCGGTGGACGCCAAGCACACGGAGCGCGAGGGCACCGCGGAGAAGCTGAACGCGGTGCTCCGGCGCAAGCTGCCGCTCGCCGGAAAAGAAGCGAGGGGAAGATTCCAGACGTGGACCTGGCTGTTTTTTCTGCCGGTTGTTGGCAACCTGTTTTTGGCAACCTTTTTTTGGGCGTCGCCTTTTGTTTCAGAGAGAGAGATCCGCTTTTTGGCAACCTGGTTGGTCATCCCAACAGGTGATCACCTTTTTTTGTCAGAGAGAGATCCGCTTTTTGGTCACCTTTAGGTCCCGAAAGGTGACTTCACCTTGTATTTTCCTCGGGTTTTTCCCCGAGGAAACACATCCACTTCAGCAATCCAGACTTGATCCTGGCCTGCGGCATGCCGATGTTCTTCTTCGATCTCATGAGCCCTGGCGATCAAGATTTCATCGGGGGGCCGGCCGTCGGCGGGCCGGCGGTTGAAATGGCCCGGCCAGAAAGTTTGGGGCCAGTTTGGGGCCAGAAAGTTTGGGGCCAGAAAGTTTGGAGCTCCTGGACGTTAATTCAACTTTGAAGGTTTGGACCATTTTAGGGGTTTTATTTGAAGTTCTCAGCTGTTCTGGCCAATCCACTCAGGGAGCGAGATTTGGTAACGGATCCTTGGACTTCAACTTGTTTCGGGAAAAAGCCGGAATCGTTTTTTTCCTTAAGCCCACAGAAAGTGATAGAAATCAAAAACAACGGGGCTTTCCCTATTTAAACCCCACAAAAAAAGGTAAAAGCACGTTTTGCCACGAGGATAAAACAAGTTGCAACCACAACGATACTTGCACTCAAAGCCACGGGATCGATCGGTAGGGGGTTTTCTTGCAAGTGGCTTAAGAGTTTTGACATACCCCAAGTTCGTGTGGCTAAACTTGAGGTGGTTCACACTTCAGGGCTCCTTAAAAGCAACATTTTGCCCGTAACATGGCTTCTTCCACCAAAATAAAGGGAAACCACCATTTACAAGGCAATACCAGGTGTATAATGTAAGGATCCCTGCACTTGCACCAGGGTTTTGAGTTCTTGCTAGGTTCACCCAGGAACTGTACCCAGGAATTGCGTACCAAACTTGCACCAGGGAGCCTTGACATACCCCAGGTTCGTGTTGCTACACTTGAGGCACATGTTTTTGTTTCTTTTTGTTGGTCAGGTGTCGGCAGTCAAGCTTTGCGGCGAATGCCAAGTCCAAAGAACACACACCACCTGACAAATCCTGAAAACAAAAAAACTGTTGGAAGGGATGTCTAACCCTCATTTTGTTTTTGAGCCCCCTGTGGAAGTAACAGTTTGGGCCCATCAGGCAGCTATCCTCCGCGCTGGATTCGGAGGGGGGGGCGTTTTTTTTGGGGATTTTTCCCGTTTTGCTTCAGGTTTTGTTCCTGGATTTTACCTTAGTTGGCTTCTTAGCTTCTTGGCTTTTTGGCCTTTGGCTTCTTGGAGTTTGGGCAATTTTGGCTTTTGGCTTCTTGGCTTTTTTGCTTTTCGGCTTTTTGTGCTTCGGCTTTCCGCATCACCAGAAACACCGCAGCATCACCGGCTTTTTGCTTTTTTGCATTTTTGGTTGGTGGCTTCTTGCCTCCCAGGTCTCTGTAGATGGGGGGTCTGCGCCCCCCCCAACCCCCCGCTTCGGAATAGGGGCTGTTGTTTGGCTTTGTGATGACCTCAAAAGGCAAGCCTAAAACTCTGAACGAACCCCAATGAATCCACCGCCCACCCTAAAACCACGTTTGGGCCCCAAAACCACCCTAAGCCAACCCTAAAGCCACCACTAAACCCACCCTAAACCGCCACAAAAACTAGGACCAACCTTAAAACCAAACCGCCAAACCTAAAGAAACCCTAAAGAAACCTTAAACCAGCAAGACTCCCTAAAGAAACTTCTAAACAAACTCACTCTAAACCAGTAATGGACTATCCCGAATTAGGAAGCCTCAGGGTGGGTTTGAAGTGTCTTGGATTTGGATTTGAACTCCTGGTTCTTAAGATTTTTGGTTGTGGCAACCACCCTTAACCACGCCTCCAACGCAACCACCAATTAGGAAGCTGATTTCAGCCATGTGTGGATGCCAAGAAAGCGCCGATCCTGATTCTTGTTTTTTTGGAGAACCAGGCCCACCAAAGCAAGCCAAACCAAGCCGGTCACGGTGGCTCTTGTGGGTAAATGGGAACTTCACCAATCCAGGCCAAGACCGTCAAAGTGATTCAAGTGTGTCTTGTGGGTAAATGGGTACCCCACCAATCCCAACCATTCTTTTCAAGATGGGATCCGGTTGGGAAGCTGGCAAAAACAAGTCGAGGAAGACCTCTGTCCTGTCGCGCTGGCTGGACCGCTTGGCGCGCCTCGACCTGCCACTTACGGAGGGCGCAAGGGTGCGAACGGGCCTGGCCTATGTCGACGTTGACGTGGAGGACACGCCCAGGACCATGGGATGTGCTGATACGTTTCGTGCCCGTGACTGGACATGGACCAAGTCAGGGAAACCAAAAGGCGACAACAGGGCTCCTTAAAAGATACATTTTGCAACCATTTGAAACATTGCTTTTTCAACACCAAAATAAAGGGAACCCACCATTTACAAGGCAATGTTCAGGTGTACAATGTAAAGATCCCTGGACAAGGTCAGCCTTAGCTTTGGGAAAGTGAGTAATGTTGGCCCCACATTAATCAACCCAAGTTGGTTAATACACGGGGAAGGTGTTCCCCTCCAAACGCGATGAATCCCCACATTTCACCCAGGGACACCCCCCTATCAACACACTGGGGTTGATTACTATGGGGTCAACATTAGGCGTTTCGTCGTTGAGGGGAGCAAGGGAAACAAAAGGAAACCATTTGAGAAGTATCTTTGTTTCGTGGTTCTAAAGGAAAACCAAAACGAAAGCCACCATGTTGGAGGCGTGCTTAAAAGGAAAAGTGCCCATGTCTTAGCTTCCAAGCTGGTGGTTGCAATCAAAGAGTTACTTGGTCGCGTGCTTCCGGTAGAGATGAGGGGTGCCCCCGCGTCGGTTTTCTCGAGGCATGCCAATCTTTTGACACGTCAAAGAGGGATAGAAGGACAACCAGGAGAGGGTCCCTCGCCCAACGCCAGAAACAGTTTCTCTGAAGATTGCGCCGGAACTAGGTCCGACCAAGTCAAGTACTTGACGACATATCAAAGGAAGCTCTGCCTGTCACCTTCCATTTGCTTAAGAGTTGTTGTTCTTTTTGTTGGAGTGAAAGGGAACCGATGACCACTGGACATGTTTTTTCCAGTGGCCTAGGCAAACGAAAGTCACCTAACTGCGACAAAGCCAGCGCGCCGCTGAGAGTCCATGACCCAAAGGGTGCAGAATGGCCACGACCCGGAGCGAATAGGAAGGCCAGTCCAGAGAAACACGCCCAGAGCCGCAGAATATGCAAAAAGGACCAGAATATGTTCACTCTTGGTGCTCATAGTTTTCTGGTTTCTGCAGTCGAGAGGGCTGTGAAGGTGTTTGCGTGATTTGAATCAAATGCCAAAAGGAAGGCCAAAAGGAAAACCGCCATTTTGGGGATGTGGCTAAAAGGAGACGTACCCCTGTCTGAGCTTCTCACCTGGTAGAATAAATTGCCAGTGGAAACTGCTGTGCTGCACCCGTGGTTTCTATAGACACCTTGAAGCCCCGCCAGGAGGCGTGCAAAGAAGCCGCGAAATCAGGAGCCAGCGGGAAGGTTGGATGTGTATCCTCGATCCGTTCGTAAAAAAGATTCCGAAGCTTAGTGAGGGTTGCACCTCTGAATTCCGCAAGAGGAATTGCACCTGCTGCATCTGGACATGAAAGGCGTGTTTTATCCTTTGCATTCTTTTTGGGTATGCGCACGGCAGGCTCCCCGTTGCCCTCCCACACCCTCCCTGCAAATGCTCTTTTTTTGAGGGTCCGCTTGTGTTGGTGGCTTTTGCCATTTTCAGGCATTCCTGCCAGTTTGTACGTGCAACTTACCTGCAGCCAAAGCAATTCGACCTTTCACCTGTTTGGTTTCGGTGATTTGGTCCACATGTCTATATGGGTATGGACCATTTTGGGGCAGGTGCACCACGCGCTTTTAGTCTATCCTAGGGCTTCGCCATCACCAGCTGCGCTGGCCGGTCGGACGGGTGAGATGGGGAGCACTCTAAGAAGAACTCTGTTTAGGCGGGACCTTGTTTCAGAGCCTGACCTGCGGACCTGCTCCGCGCAGTTGCGCCGACACATCACCCACGCCGCCCGCGAACCCACACACCACGCGCCCACCCAATGCGAACCCACACGCGCAAGAGGCAAGGTTGCTTGCCCAACCCCCCTGACACTGAGCATGCACTCATCCACTCTAGCTTGCATGTGTGCCTGCTTTGCGTCCAGCGGGTCTGACACCGAAAGCCCATCAGACCAAAAAGCGCATCCCAAGGATGCAGAGGATGTTGGTGGGGATGCTGGCGACTGTCCGGGGCGATTTGCACGGTATCGCTTTTGAAGGTCGGGCAACGTGGCATCAGAAGCCCGTCGCAAGGCCAGGGAGGCCGGGGATGTTTTGGGGTCCAAGTGTTTGGGCCGGCCTGCGTGCAGGTGATGCAGGCAATGCTGAGGAGGAGCTTGGGTTGCAACAAAACACGTCGGCGGTATACCCTACGAGTAGGGTTGCCCTCGCTCTTCGAGCTCGAAGACACACAGCGCAGCTGGATTTTAGTGGGGCTTGGGATGTTCACTGAGGGCACGGGATTTTGTCCCCTGGACACATATACATATATATATATATATAAAACTCTCAAGATTCTAAGTGTCAACCTGTTAAATCCCGGCCTCTGCAAGAGGTAAGGTGCTGTTTTCGATCGATTTTGGCCAGCTCAGAATTCTTGATTTTGGGGCTGTCGACAAGGCATGGCATGGAGAGCCTTAGATGACTCGATGGCTGGCTGGAGAAATTCCTTTTTCACCCCCCTAGACTTAAGCCTTGAGGTCCTCCTTTTAGCCGTTTGCGCGGTTGAATTTCTAGTTTTGATTTGTTTGGGGGGGTTGGACCCTAATTCTTGTGCCGCTTGGGCGGTTGGATTTGTAGTTGTCGATTGGTTTGGGGGGGGTTGAACCCTAATTCTTGCACCGCGATCCGAACAATCGCAGAGGGAAAGAGCCGCGAAAAAGAGGCAGTCGTTGCACGCGTCCCGTGCGAAATGCTTTCGCTAGCATCATTAGCATCACCATTGCCATTATGATCATTTTTTTCACAAACAGAATGCGCAGTATCAATCATATAGTTGTACTTTGCAAATAGTGGTGCTTGTTCGGGGGCGCCTCTAGCAAGAAAGCTTTTCAACTATTCACTGACGTGATCATGCCCTTTAGGTGCTGTATGGCAAGGGGGCATGCAATGAACAGTCGCATAATGTCGAACAGGCAGGCTTGCACCACTGTGTTCAGACTGGTACTCTTGGAAGCTAAATCTGAAACAGCACCAGAGCGTATATCATTTTCGGAACCAGAGCATATGATACTTTACTTTCAGCCTACCCCGGGGACAGCTTTGACTCATATGTGTGTGTGTGTGTGTATTGTGTTTGCTTTTTTGGCGGTACCTTGTTTTTGGCTAGGATCCTATTTTGACGACCCATATGACACCACCTTTTTTGACCAACTCGAAGGCAACAGACACAGCTTCAATTCACATATGTGCTTTTTTCTTTGTGCTAAAAAAGGGATCTATCACTGGAATGATTTTCTCGGTGGTCCTGAGGTATTTTGAAATGGATGCTTTTCGTGGATTTTCTGTTGGCTGTCAATGTTCTTAAGTTGGAAATATGGCTCCTTGAGCCCGTCCAGACAAAGCCGCCCTAAACGTTCCCAACCGCAGCCCTTTCCACTCAGGGCTTCCACCTTGCCAGTTCAACCTCCACCCTCCCCGATTCTTCCATTTGCTGAAATGAACACGTTTTTCTTTTCCCCCGTCCGACCACGAAGCAAGCCTTTTGTGCCTCAGCCTCGCCAGGACTGGCTGCAGCCCGCAGACGCTAAAAGGGCCACCAAGAACCTGGAAGCCCTCAAGCCGCGCGGAGGGAGAAAAAACACGGTCGACCCCGCACCTGGAACCCCAAGTAGCCACTTTTTTCCGGCCACTTTACCCACTAGTGGCCCACAACTTGCTCAAAGTAGCTGGAAAAAAAGGCAACTGGGGATCCAGGGGTGAAATCTAATGTTTGTGTAGAAAGTCAAGGTCGCCAGTTAGGTGCCCTTTCTCACCCCTTTTTTTGGTTAGGAGGGTTCCCCTACTAAAATAGACTACAGAAAGAATCGGCTTATTCTAACCTCTCTACTGGAGGACCTAGTTGTTGACCCCATGTGAACCAACCAACCAGTTGAGTAGTGATTTCATTTCGTTTCCCTTCAAACTTGACCCAAGAATGGAAGCAAGAACAGCTACACCTAATTTCGACCCTATTCTAATCAACCAACCAGTTTATAAGGGGGGTTGGTTCTTCTTCCTGGGCGAAATGTGGGGAATCAGACCACTTTTGGAGGGGCCCCCACTGGTTGATTAACATGGGGTCAACATTGTTCACTTTCCCAAACCTAAGGCTGACCTTGTCCCCTTTTGGTTTCCAGGCACAAAAGGTGAGCACCCTGAGAGATTAAGAATTTCATGCCGGACGGTACGGCTCCAGCCGATTCTAGAGCCAAGTCACGTAGCCTGTGAAATCGAATCCACGTTGCCCGCAAGGTCAGTAGGTTCTCAGTCTCTGAAATCTCATTTTCCCCTATGGACCGGATGTGAAAAATCCATTGCTTGGACTCAGAAAAGCTGCGGGTTTTGGAGGTTTCTGGGGGACGAAATGTTTAACACGGGCAACCTGAAGCTGAATCTCAGTTCTCTTGTTGAGGCCCTTTTTGTTGCCCCAGTTATTGTTGCCACCCAAAAGGAGCCATTCGAATCTCTGTGAGCTTGGCCAAGTGGAGACATTGCCAGACTTAGCTTATCTTTTTTTCGTTTTGGCCTTTGGGTTTCCATCATGTTACCTTCAACCAGCTTAACTTTTGCAGGGGGCCTAGGGCGTTCTGCTTCGAAGCCCTGGACAACAAAAAATCAACAACTCCGAGGGGTTTGAACAAACGGGCGGGGTGGCCTTGCCCTTTTTTTTTGGGGTGGGGGGGTGGGGTGGGGAGGGTGGGGGTGGAAGCCAACTTGATATTCTCACTCCCTGAGTTCCGTACTTCTCGGGGGTGGAGCATGTCAGTTTGGCCAATCCACTCGGTCGGAAGTGAGATTTGATTTCCTTTAGAACTACCCCCCCAACCAAAAACAAGCACACAACAAAGCAAAGAAAAAAGCACAAGACAGCAGTTTGGTTACTAGAGTTTTGCTCTTCCCTTTCAACCAAACTAAGAGATGGCCATGGGTCAAAATCCGGTACCCCCAGTGAACATAACAATCCCACTAAAATAAGATTGGTGGTGCTCGACAACAGTTTCTTGGTGGCTCCCAGCCATCCCCTTAGCTTTTTTTGCCTTTTAGTGTTTTGTCTAGGGGATTTGCATGTAACCCACTGAGAGCTAAACTTTTAGCCGGGGATCTGAGGGCGGCCCAGGTTTGGCTACTGTAGTTTTGCCCTATGAACCAACCTAAGAAAAATAGACCTCGACCCTTAGCTCGCGCCCGAGTCCCAAACTGCAGGCAGGTGGAGCTGGTCCTCCGGCACCAGCGCGAGAGCAGCATGGAGTCCCTGACGCCCCCAGGGCTCCGCCTGCTGAAGCGCGCCAGGGACCTGCCGCTGCAGCCGCCTCCCCAGCCTGACGCCCAGAGCATCGAGCGACTGCGGCGACTGAACGGCGTCTCTATGCCATTTTTTTTTTTGCGGGTAAATGCCTTTTGTTTGTAAAGAAGCCTAGTGGGTGTGGGTGTGTAGAAGCAATTGCGGCTTGAGTGGGCTCAGGGTCGCGGTGGATCACTCCGGGTTTGTGCAACCACAAAAAGTGCCCTTTTCTTTGGGGGTGAATTTGTCTTTGGGGTTAGGCCCTTTCCGTTGTAGCACAGAAGTGGATTCCATTTTCCACAGCCCTGAGTGGGGTACTGTTTGTTTTTGTTGAGGGTAAATGCCTTGTGGTTGCTTGTAAAGAAGCCTAGTGGGTGTGTGTGGATTTGTGGATGTGTTTTTGAGGGTACTTAATCTTTTGTTTTTCTTATGTAAAGACAGCTCAGAGAAATAGCGGGCTGGTGTGCTTGCGTTTGAGGGCAATTGCTATTTCGTTTGGTTGCTTCAAGGAGGGAAACCCTGCATTTGACACACACTGTGACCAAACCCCAAGAGCATTGCTAGGGCCTTTGGTTGTCATCTTCCGGACGAATGTCTGCCACGACGTCTTGGGACCCTGCGAAAGGTGCCAGGGCCAAAAGGAAACACACCACTGTGAGGGGGGGGGGAATTTTCAAGGCTTGCTTGGCTGAACGGAGCATAGAATCGATGCTTCTGATTCGCAGACTAAGTTCTTTGTCCCCGAAGGCCAGTGGTGCTGGAACCAACTTGGGGCATCTTGACTTCCAGTGGCTGAAATGACAATGTTTTCTATATGGA